TCTCCATTCTCTTCTTCATCTTCTCCTTTCTTCTCTTCATTTTCTTCCTTCTTTTCCTCGTCCTCTTCCTCCTATCCTTCCCTCTTCTTCATCCTCTTATCTTTTAGTCATCATCAGCTTCCTTTCCTCTTCCTTCTCTTCTTCATCCTCTTTTCTTCTCTTCCTCTTCCTTTTCTTCTCCTCCTTCTATCTTCCTTTTTCTTCCACACATACCTGTCAGTTTTCACACTCATTTTTTAGGAACTGACAAATGAGTGGGGGAATAAGAGAACTATTAAAGACAGAACAGATTTGAAGAGACTTTCATGGAGAGAGATCATTTCTTCTTTCTTTTCCCCTCATTCAGCTAAAAAATAAAGTCCTCCTCTATATCTCCTCTAATTTTTCCCCTCATTTCTTTTTGTATTTTTATTACTTTTTTTGCATTCTTTTATCCTTGATCAGCTACACCCAATAAATTTATTTTTTAAAAATATTTTTTAAAAAGTACTTTCTTCTATTTTTGTGATCATTCCTTGATTAGAAAAGCTGTAATAAAATAAAAATATTTTTTCTTCTATATTTTATTACTCCCATTACTAAATAATAAAACTTTGCTTAATCAGTCCCCCATTTTTTCTCACATATAACACAACTTGGGGGTGATCCAGAAGATCACTTGAATGAATGGGAATATTAAAGTCTGGGTTTTAAATTTAATAGACTAATTAAAGGGTGAGTAGAGAGTCTGATAATTTTCTGAGGCCTTTGGATTAGAGATCGGCACGGACGGATCCCGCACTTGATTTTACCGTATCACGACCCTAAATCCCGGATTTTGAGCTAAAAACGGGATTACCGGGATAACGATATTTACGGGATTAATCCCGCGTGATCCCTTCACGTATAAAATGTTAAAGCAACCCTGTTACGGGATCACGGGAATGCGAGTTTGCCGATCTCTACTTTAGACCTCTTGCCACTATTGAGTCCAGAATTGATTTTTAAAAAGGACCGTTAGAGTCGCAAGCATTTTTTAATTTATTTTATTTCCCAGGCTCTGGTGGGTTCATAGAATTTTCGAGCTTTTGAATTTTCAAAGACATTTCGACCTTTCGTGTTATTCGCGTCTAAAGTTGATTTTTAAAAAGGACCATTAGAGTCTTTCACATTTTTTTAAATTTTATTTCCCAGACTCTAAAGGTATCGATCTTTAGGAACTTTGCTTTCCTTGCCCCAAGCATTGCTTGTTCACACAAATATATCTTTTTCCCTATCAATAAGTTTTCTAGTCTAGTTATTTTTGTCAACTAAAAATAACTAGGAACTATCATCATCAAGTACACAAACACACACTTTTTGTTACAAATTATTTTTATATTTATTTATTTTCCACACCTTTTTTTGATTGGATTATCTAAATAATAAATATACACAACAACAAAGCGCTTTACATTAAATTTTTATGAATTAGACCGGCGGAATGGCCTTAATCACAAAATTATTATATTCCAAAAACACTCGAAAACAATTTTAAATTTAATTAAATGCAAAATATTTTTGTTTTGGCGTTGTGTTTATTTTTGGGGGATTTTTTGTCTTAAAGGGGTAGAGAAGTGGAAATTGAATGTTTGACTATTTTTTTGATTGAAAATTTTAATTTTATCTGATTAACAAGGGGACATCATAGGGTTTCGACCATGCTCTACACGATGGTATAATTTTTATTTCAAAATTTTTGGTCACAATTCGAAATGTTCCCTTGTAAGTCTTAAAATCAATCATCTTTAAGGACTTTATTTTCAGATTTTTCAAGCCTATGGATTTTAACTAGGACGAGTTGTTGATTAATACCCCTTCTTTAACCTCATTTAACCCCTCCCTTTTATCTCGACCGTCTTTCTTATTCAAACATTTAATTTCAAAGTTCAGCCTCAACCTTGATTTGAATTTTTATTGTCCATAATTTAGGCATTTTTCAAGAGTTTCTTCATTTTTCTCGACTTGAGGTCGAGAGTCTGAGAGTGAGTGATTAAAAGAAAATCATCAGACTCTAATTACCCTCTGATTAATTAAAGTAGGCAACTGAACTCAAAATCAAAAATTTTTTTACTTTCTTATTTCTACTCGTGTTTAATTTTTAATTCCTTTTTTTTGTTTATAAAAATAATTTTTTTTATTATTTTCCTCAATTTTTGACAAATTTTCACAGTTTTCAAAAAATTTTCTCTTAATTTTCCCCCAAATTTCCCTTTAAAAAATTTTTTTTCTTCCAGATTTAATTTATTTATTTCATTAATTTAAATGCCCTTAAAAGAAGAAAATATGCTTTAATAAAATGGATTTGTCTGCAATGATGCCAATAATTTATTTACGCGGTCTACTTCTTTTATTGCTTTCTTTTTCGACTTTATATTCTACTAGGGCGCTTAAAGGTTTGTTTGGAATTTATTTTTAAATTTATTTTATAGACTTATTCGTTATTTAAAATTAAGCGTTTAAGTAATTGGTGGTGTTGTGGGTAGTGTCCTTGCCTCCCCTGTGGAAACGGTCGTGGGTTCGAGTCTGGCTAGGGGTGGACTATTTTTTCTTGTGTTTTTTCTTCTTTTTATATTTTTTTGAGGTTAATTCTTTCACCAAAAATTTTTTTAAATTTTTCCTAAGCCTTTTTTTCATTCCTTTTTTCACTCCTTTTCCCAAAAATCTTTATCCAGGTGGCGTTGTGGGTAGTGTCCTTGCCTCCCCTGTGGAAGGATCGTGGGTTCGAATCCCCCTTGGTGTAAGCTCTCTTTTCCTCTGTTTTTTCTTCTTTTTAATATTTTTAGCAAGTTAATTCTTTACGAAAAAATTTTTTTAATTTTTCCTAAGTCTTTTTTCACTCCTTTTCCTAAAAAATCACTCCAATAAATTCTTATGCCTTTTATTTCTTTTATTTTTTAAAGTCATTTTTCGGCACGCTTTTTTTATAAAAAATCATATAAGCAAAATTACACACCTTTTCCTCAATTTGCTTAAAATTCTCTAATTTTTGGAGATTATTTTAGGTCATAAAACTTTTTCCTCTCTTTGATCTTTGAAAATGTCCGCAAGTTTTGTCCGCAAATATTTTTTTCTAAAATTTTTATTTTTTTTAGAAAATAATCCGTCATTAATAAATTTCTTATTAATAAATCAATCAAATTTATTATTTTTTTCCCTTTAATTCCTCCACTTCTCCCCTCTCCTCAAAAAAATATTTGTCACCTTTTTGCCCCCTTTTAACCTTTCTCCTCCAAATTCATCATCCACTCATCTGGGCCCGTAGAATAAATTCGGGGTTAGGTTACCCGAGTAACTTTTCCCCCACAAAATGAAAAGATGAGAAAAATCCTTGCGCCGAAAAAATGGAGAAGAAAAGAAAGAGGAAAAGAATACGGTAGAGGTGGAGGGTAAAATTGTTACCCTGCTACGGGGCAGGGTAGACAATTCCTTTAAAAAATCCTTAAAATTTAAAATTTGATGAAAAAATTATAAATTAAATTTTTTAAGATAGTTTGGAATGTGCTCTATTTTTTGATATAAGTTTTAGAATTTTTTCTTTGGAAATAAATTTATGACAATTTTTAACAAAAAGGACCTCATTTTTAGTCATTTTTTAAGGAAAAAGTAGTACCTTGCTAGTAAATTCATAACTTTTAAATAAGTCGGTCAAAAATTCTGATTTTTTGGTATTTCATAGATAACACTCCGATCTATAATTTGGCCAAAAAATAAAATTTTTATCTGCATTTTAAAAAAAGTCATGAATTTTTTCATAAATAGGGAGAATGAGAAGCGGGTAGCGGCGCCAAATCCTTTGCCTAGGGTCAAGTCGGCGCTGCCGCTACCCGGGTAACCTTACCCTTGAATTTATTTTGGGGGTTTATTTGATTCATTTTTGGCTAATTTTTTGGAAGGAAACTTTTTTTGATTTTTTTTGTTTTTCCAAAAAAAAATTTTTTGGTCTTTTTGGGGGTTTTTGGGGAGGTTTCTGTCTTTGGTTATGCATAAATTATTTTTGCTAAATATTTAAGAAGAGAATTAAAAGGGGGGTTTGATTTAAATAAAAAAAAAATTTATTTATTTTTTAAAGTTTATTTATTGGACACACTCAATGCTACTTCTGAATTAAATTGGCGTACTTATTCAAATCAAGATGAGAAGGATGGGGTATATTTTTAATTTAATAAATTTATTTATGGGGGAGAGAATTTTTTCAAAAAATTTGTTGAGAAATTTCCAAAAAAAAAATTTTAAAATTCCCTCGAGTTTTCGATATTTTGGGGAGAGTTTTTTAAAAAATATTTAAAAGAAAATTTTTTGAGCTGATAAAAGTATGTAGTGTTTTTACCCGTCCTCAAAAAAATTTTAAATATATTAACTGATTTTTCGTTTATTTTATTATTTTCTGGGGAATTAAAAGGTCGAAGAAATTCACTCAATGAGGCGTAAAAAGCTTAAAAACAAGGGGAATAATTTTTCTAATTTTTTTTGTAAATTATTTTTGCCGTTCCGAAAATTATGATTTTTTTAAAGCAATTCTAAGTTTTTAAAAAAAATGGATGCCCCTTTTTTGATTTATGCCGATAAAATATAACTTTTTCAGAAAAAATAGAGACGAGGGATTTTTTTGAAAAGGAGAGGTTGTTTTACCCGTTTTCTGCGACGAGGGACCCCCTCCTCTAATTTTAATTTTTTTAAAAAAGGTTTAAGATTTTCTGAGAGTTTACGAGAAAAAAGGGAGCAGGCCAATGTACCACGAGCCCAATGTACCGCCATTCTACAACTTTGTTTAAATTTATTGAATCCGGGACGCCGTAGTATGTTTAGACTCAGCTCATCGAACCGCATCGAACCATATCACTGAGTCCCGGATTCGATAATTTTAAACGAAGGTATAGCGCGGCGGTAAATTGGGCTCGCGGTACATCGTGGTAACCGCAAAAAAATAATTTTAAAACATCTAAAAATTTTTTTAATTTCTCTAGTGGTTAGAAGAAACAATGTATTCTCGCTCAGAAAACAAAAACCACCAAGTTTATTCAACTTGTAATTACGAAAGTACCCACGACGCCGAAAATTGGTTATTAATCCCATTTGTAGAAAGAGGAGAAGCCCAACGATTTTATTTACATTTTAATTTTACAATTGTGAGGTGTGCGGCTGTTGAAGCTTTGAGAACTAGTGGGTGTAAAGAAACGTTGAAATTATATGCTGCTCAGTTTAATGAGTCTGAAGAGAGGGAATTTGTTAAAAGGAAAAATTGGTTTAATGAAACTAAATGGTTGGTAATTTAAAGAGACCTAATTATAAGATAACCCCGATACAAGCCCGTACTTAAGAAAAATTTTCGGGGGTGGGGGCCATGAGGGGGAAATGCGGCAAAAATTCACGTGAGGCAAAAATATTCACTTTTCCCCCATCTCCTCCCAAAATTTTTTCCTTTTCCCGATTTCGGAGAGGGGGGGAGTACCTCCCGCTGTCTACGGTCCTGCCCCATGAAGAGGGGTGTGAGGCTGAAAAGTGTCTTTTATAATGAGAGGTATCATAAATAGAAGGTATCGCTTAAACAGCTCCTAGACCCAGTAGACATACCTTGGGGGCATCAACGCCTAAATAGTATCTTTTAATACTGCTATCTCACTTGGGAGTATCGTTTAGTCAGCTCTTCCATTATGTAGTTCCCTACCAGTTGAGACTAGGGTAGCACCCCGAGCCTTTGGGGGAGGGATCGTCGGTGATTGTGGGTTTGCTGGGGTAGAGCCTTTGGGATAACAAAGCCGTTGGGTTAACAAAGCCTTTGGGTAGCAAATTAAACAAAAAAATTTTTTTCAAATTTAAAGGGATTATGTAGACACACTAGCTTCTCATTCAACAACGGATACTGCAAATAATAATCAAAATAAAAATGAACTAGAAAGGGGAGGAAATTTAGAAGAAGGAGGAAATACTCTTAAAGACCACCAACAACAACAATCAAATAATAATCAACAACAAACATATACACAAACAAGCTCTTATGATGTTAAAAAGCGTTATGTACATTTTGCATTGAGAAATACTGGTGCTTGTTCTTCTATACTTTCGGTTAAGGTGAAAAAATAATAATTTTTTGAATATTTTAGGGAAATTTCAATTTTTGGGTCATTACACGATCTGTTTTTAATTTTATTTGATTAGTGATCGTGATGGCCTAGTGGTTAAGGTGTTATGTTTTTGTTTTTTGGGGTTGGTTGTTCGATTCCTATGGGTTGTAGAAGGGTTTCCTGTTTATTTAAATTAACTAAAAATTGTTTTGAAAATTTTTTGGAGTTGGGAAAAATCTTTAATAATTTTTTTAGAATGCATTTTATTCGTAATTTGATTTTTAAAGGATATTTTTGGTCAGTATAAAATTAAAAAAAATATTTTTTTGTTTTCAAAAGGCTTAGGCTTAAATTAAAAAAAATTTTTTTTGTTAATTTAAAATTTTTTTTCAATTTTTTTCACTTTTTTGACTTAAAAAATTTTTTCTCAAAATTAAATTTTTTTCATAGATTTACTACAATGTTTGCCCAGAATATTTTTCTTCACTTCTACACCTTCCACGTACCGTTAGTTCTCGTGACCCCCACGGTGTTGTAAGCGTTCAGGGACGGTGTACTTCCAACTCCTCTCCCGTCGCCACAATAATTCAACAAAATTCCAAAAATTCTCAAAAACTCGAAAAATTAGTTAGACGTCAATTCCCAGCATTACAACCCCCAACGGCTATTTGTAAAGCTGATGGAAGTTGGCAATTGGTTGGTTCTTCTACAGAATGTGTTTGTGATCAAGGATTTGTGGTATCCAAAATTAATGGAATGTGTACAGGTGGGGAAGAAAATTTTTTTTGAAAATTTTTTAAAAATAGGGTAAAAATAGGAGAATTTTATGACCACATTTTTTATTCAATTTTCTTGAACTAAATTTAAAAAAAAATTATTTTTATTGAATTAGAAAGCTTTTTGGATTTTTTTTGTTTTTTTTATTTTTAGCTTTAAAATTTTTTTTTAGTTTTCAAAAATTTTTAAAAATTTTTCTATTAAAAATTGAAAATTAGGGTGATAGGGATTTTTTCAAAAAAATTTTTTTTTAATATTTTCTTGTAATTACAAAAATGTTTTTTTTTGTATGAAAATTTATTTTTATATAATTTTTTTGTAAACTTTTTTTTTCTCTTGAGGTCAAGGTGCTCAAAAAAAAAAATTTTTTTTAACTTAATATTTTTTATTTTTTTTATAATTAATTTTCTTTTATTTTTTCTATTATTATTTTTTTCTTTCTTTTTTTTTCTTGAATTTAGCGACATTCTTTTAATAAAATTTTTTGCGCTTATTTTTAAAATTTATATTTAATTATTAGTTGGTGAACACAAAAAAGCGGAAAAAATTTTTTTTGTGTGGATATGAAAGAAAATAAAAGGATTTTTAATGGAATTTTTCAATAAATAAAAGGGGGCTCCTAATTTTAAGGATACAAGGAGAACATAAAAAAATAAAGGAAAGTAAAATAATTTTTTGATATTTTTTTGTTGACCTTTGACTGACCTTTCTTTTTTTATTTTTAATAGGAAGGGGGACTAGCTCTCGTATATCCTTTTTATTTTTTGTGGATCGAGAAGAAAGAAAAGAAAAAATTTTTTAAGAAGTACCCGACATATTTATTAATAATTATTATTATGTGTGTGGTTATTTTTGTTTTTTTAAGTATATATAACACATTGTATTCGGGAGAAAATAATGGGGTGGTGAAGGGGGGGGGGGATTTTGTGGATGTTTATTTAAATATGGGTAATCTTTTTGTGTGTAGAAAAAGATTTCCCCCATATGGGGATCTAATAATAAAAAAATTTTTTTAATATATTTTTTTGTGAAATAATTTTTTTAAGCACACTCTAGAAATTTTATTTTTATATTTTTAATTTAACAATATGCTGCTTTTCATATATTTCATACCTATTTTTATTTTTTATTAAAATATTTATTTTTGGTACCCAATTTTTTTTTTCAAATTTTTTTCATTATAATTTTTTTTTCAAGTTTTTCACATCTCTTCACTTTATTTTATTACAAAAAAAAGCAAAATTTAATTTTGAAAAAAAATATTTTTTAAAAGATCTATTGGGCACGCTATTTACTAAAAATAAATTACTTATTTTTAAATTAACAAAAAAAATTTTGTAAAAATTTAGAAGGGTGACAAAATTCCTTTTTTTTGGTTACTTGTAAAATAAATTATTTAAGATCCACTTAACTATATTTTCATGCTATTTTATTTTGTCACCTTTAGAAATAAATTACTTAAAGCTGTGTGTGTGTTAGTTGTGATTTTTAAAAATATTAAAGAGAGGGAAGTTGGGAAAAGTGAAGGGATTATTATTAATGCTTTTTGTCAATTTTTATTTTTCTGATCAAAAATAGGGATTCAGTGTGTGTTTGTGTATCTCTTCTATTTTATTATTTATTTTTCACACTTCCGTTTGGTCACAAAACTTCTTCTTTTAGCAGAAAGTTCTCTTTAATATATCTAATTTCAATTTTATATTATTATTATTAACAGATGTCGTCTTTTAGGGGGAAGAGGGAAGGAAGTGTTTTTAAATTTTTTTCAAACTTTTAAAATAAAAGCGGGATTTTAAAAATTGTGTGTTTTTGTTTGTTATTGAAGAGAGAGAGATAATATTATTAAATAAATAAAATAAATTTTTTTAATTAAAAAAGGATGATATAATTAAGGCTTGCTGGAAAGTTTTACAAAGATAAGGAATAAAGAGATATTGATGAAAAAGCACGAAAAAAAAAGATTTATAATTTTTTGGGTTGCTAAGGTATTCCGTTTGAATTAGGGGAAGTTTGAAATTGGGGAAGTTTTTGTTTGAATTAGGTGAGTTTTGAAAATAAAAAATGTTCGATTAGAATTTTCAAGTCAGTTTCTTTAAAATTTTCTTCAAATCGGGTTTTGAATTGCGAAAAAAAAGTTGGGGTATTTGATTAACCAGAGACACACCATACTTACTAATTTAACATTGGGAAAATATTTTATTAAAAAATTTTTTTTTGCTCAAATTTGTTAATCATCTTTTTAATTAAAATTTTGAGTTCTATTTATTTTTACAAATTAAATTTTATTTTTTTTAACTTTTGATATTTTATCCTATTTTAATTTTTTTTTGTTTTCTATTTGTCTTTTTTCATTTTATTTAAATTAAAATTCAAAATATTTTTCAAATTTTAAATGAAAAAAAAGAAGTGTCCAACTCTCTTCTTTCAATATTTTCATTTCCATTTTCACAATTTTTGACAGGAAGATAGATGGATGTGGATTGGAGATTGAAATAAGGGTAGAAGTTAAAAATAGGGGGAAGATATAAGGGAAGAAATTGAGAAGAATTTGAGAGGAGGGGGGGATTGTTTTTGGAATTAAAAAAAATTAAATTGAAAATAGGAATAAGGCTATGAATATTTGAAAATTTTATAGTCAAATGATGCCAGATTCAATTTCGGCAATATTGTTTTTCCTGGTTCTGATATCGATTTTGATTTTTTCGCTCATGCCGGAACGAATCCTGCCCAATTTTTCTGGATTAATCCGGTTCTGAAAAAATCGGATATCACGAAAATCTCGTGGATTTGGGCACGAAGTCCGGGAAATCCGACCAGATCCGGTCCAGCGCCGGGCACCAATTTTTATGAGTAGAGCTAGAGTCTAGCCAGCCAGATATCCGTATCCGAAGACGTTTGGATATTTGGGAACTTTTCCTGTTTAGATAACGAATCCGGATCTTCTCCACGTTTTAAGATATACAAAATATCTTCTCTTCTCAATAAGTATACACATCCTTATATATTTCCCTTCTCTCCCGTCATTTTTAGGTCAAAAATCAAAAAAAAAATTTTCTATATTTTTTATTTACTTAATGAAGCCCTCTTCTCAAATTTTCTCGCGGATATTCATCTCAAATTACTCTCTCCCTTCAACACTTTGAAAAGTACTTTTAAAATTAATTTATTATTAATATTTTGTAACTATTCTATTGTTTTTCTCTCATTTTTGAGAGAATTTATTATTATTTGGTAATAATTATAATGGAGGGAGGGGGGAAGAGAGGTTAATGAATAGATGGGAAGAGAATATTTTTAAAAATAAAAAAAAAAGAAAAGTTGATTGACGAGAGAAATGTGAGAAAAATTGAATAATAAGAGTGAATATGCGCGCATTTTAAAGTGTATTTTCAGAGGGGTTGGCAAAAATGAATTTTTTATCAAGTTTTGGCGCAATTTTTAAAAATCTGTGTAATTGTTTCTAAATTTTGGGAGGTTTTTAAAAATTTTAACCTAGAGATTAGAAAATTGAAAATAAAATTGGATGAGAAATATTCAAGATTGGTCGATCTGATACATATATTCCATTTGTCCATCACTTTCTAATACATACACCAGGGATGGGACGGAAAATGGCAGGGTTTTGGGTAACCCGTCTCTTCCTCGATAAACACAGAGGATCATGCCGATATCATAAAAATTCTTATTTTCTCGGGAATTTGCATAGATTTCTTAAAAAATGTTTGAGAATTCCCGGTTTTATAGAAAATTTTTAAGAAAAAATATTTTTTCTATGGAATTCCTTATTTTGGGTATCGGGATGGTATTAAATATTATAGAAAAAAGTTTTCTCTTGAAATTTTCTCATAAAAACAATAATAAATTTGTATATAAAATCCAAGTTTTCTTCAAAATTCTTTAAGTTTCTTCTACTAATTGCCTTCCATTCTCTTGAATATTTTTGAGGTTAAACAATGGAATTTAAAAATATTTTTAAGAGAAAAAAAATTTTTTTAAATATTAAATGTACTTATTTTTGCATTTATTTTTCTTTTTAAAAATACTTCATCATCTACCCACAATAACTCTGGTAACTTTAAAAACCTTTTTCAAGTATCTTTTAAAAAAGCTGTCGATGAATATTGAGGGGAATATTTTTAAGTTAAAAAGGAGGAAGAAAAAAATTTTTTTGGAAATTTGACGAAAAATTATTATTATGATGAAGATGAGAAGAAGATGATGGGCTATTAACGCTTAAAATATTGGGAGAGGGGGGGGGGAGATTTTGGGTTAAATAAGTGTTTTGGTTGTTGTTGTTGTTTTTGGGTGGTGTGGAGAGCTGAGGAAGGAAGAGGAGGGGGGGGGGGTTAATGGACTAATTTGTAGAGAAAATTGTTTAAGTAATGTGTTTTTGTGTTGTTTGTGTGCATCTTGAGAATGACAAACAAATTAATAAATATGTGGAGATAATTGAAAAATATTGAAATTATGTGAATAAAGGAGATTTTTGTGTATGTGGAATTTTTGTTGGACTAAAAAAAATTTTCTGAAATTTTTTCGAAATTTTTTTATAATTTTTTTCCAATGGGGCTCTATTTTAGGGTATTTTAGGGTTACCGTATTTATTTTAGGAAATAAGGTATTTTCTATAAAAAAATTTTTTTCCATTTGTTATTAAAATTAACCACAGAAACATAATCATATTTTAAATATTTGTTTTGTTTTATATTTCATTTTTAATTTTTTTTCACACATTTTGATGAGATTATTTTTAAATAAATAATCTTCTTTTATTTTTTGTTTGTTTAATATTTTGCGCACACTTTCACAAAACAAATAAACAGAATTAAAATCAGAATAAAAAGAAAAACAAAAGTTCAAGGTTTTTAAAAACAAAATCAGAATAAAAACAAAACAAATAAAAATATAAAACACATTTTTGTTTGTTTGATTTTTGTTCTGATTTTTTGTTTGTTTTGTTTTTGTTCTGATTTTGTTTTTGGAACCTTGAGCCTTTGTTGTTTTGTATTAATTCTGGTTTTAATTCTTTGTTTTTGTTCTGATTTGTATGTTTATTTGTTTTTGTTTTAATTCTGATTTTAATTTTGTTCTTTCTCTTGTTTGTTTGGTGTTTTGTTTAAATTAATATTTAAAAAAATATACCTATTTTTCTATAAAAAAGAACAAATTATCTCCAAAAATCCTTTCTAATTTATTTTGTTTCTCTATTATGCGCGAAAACAAAAAAGAGATCAAATTTCATTTTTATTTTGTTTGTTTTTATTTGTTTTGTTCTCTTCTTCCGCTTAACGCTTTAATACAATAAAGAATAATTCTCACCTTTCATAAACAAACAAAACATTTTAATTTTGTTTCAACAAATAAACAATCAAACACTTCAATTCTCACATTATATTTTTAATTTTAATATAACAGCAAAACAAACATTTGTCTGTGTATTTTGTTTTGTTGTTTGTAAAGGTTAAGGTCATTGTTTATTATTCTGATTTTTTATTCTGATTTTTAATTCTGGTTTATTATTTGTTTGTTTTGAATAATTCCTGTTTTGTGTTTTTGTTTGTTTTTTTTTTGTATTTTTCGGTCCACAACAAACACCACAACAATTAAAACAAAAAACATATAATTTTGAAAACACAAAATTAAAACACAAATTTCAGAATTATTTCTAAACTAAATCAGAATAATATTTATTTGTTGTTCATATTGTTTTGTATTAATTCTGATTTTAATTCTGATTTGTGTTTGTGTTTTTCTGATTTGTTTTTGTGTTTCGTGTTTTCTTATTTGTTTTTGCGTTTTTCTGATTTGTTTTTGTGTTTCGTGTTTTCTTATTTGTTTTTGTGTTTTTCTGATTTGTTTTTGTTTTTCTTATTTGTTTTTGTGTTTTTCTGATTTGTTTTAGTGTTTTTTTGATTTGTGTTTTTGTTTTTTTCTGTTATGTTTTTGTGTTTTTGTGTTTTTCTGATTTGTTTTTGTGTTTTTCTGATTTGTTTTTGTGTTTTCTTATTTGTTTTTGTGTTTTTCTGATTTGTTTTTGTGTTTTTGTGTTTTTCTGATTTGTTTTTGGGTTTTTCTGATTTGTTTTTGTGTTTTCTTATTTGTTTTTGTGTTTTTCTGATTTGTTTTTGGGTTTTTGTGTTTTTCTGATTTGTTCTTTATGTGTTTTGTTTTTCTGTTATGTTTTTGTGTTTTTCTTTTTAAAACAGAATTTGAATAACAAAAACATGCTTCAACGATTAAAGTAACTAAGTAATATTTATTCTGTTGTTTTGTATTTATATGCAGATTATGGGAAAACAAGTAAAATTATTAACCGTAAAATCCTCAAGGTGCAAAAACTAAAAATATTCTTTAAAAATTTTCTTTTAAAAGGTAACAAAAGAAAAAAGACTTTTAGAGAGGAGACTCAATGACCGGAAAAAAATTTTTATTTCTGAATTTTTCTAAGGAAAATTTTTTAAAAATTCAACAGATGTTTGTGCGATTTTTCGCGTATTTCATTAAAGGAAGATTTTTTAAAAAATAAAAAAATATTTAATTGATAAATTTGGGTAAAATTGGGGGAAAAAAATAAATATTTATTTATTTAATTATTAATTTAATAACATCTTCAAAAAAAATTTTTTCTTAATTTTTTTCTTTTGTTTTTTTCTTTCTTTTTATCTATTTTTTGCCAAGAGAGGTTAATAATAAATTAAAGCAGATGCGCGCAGAATATGATCAAATAAAAGGAAAAAATATTCACTTTTTAAATGGAAAAATAAATAAAATTATGATGCCTTTTTAAAGTGGGAAAATTTAAAAAGAAAAAAAAATAAACAAGAAAATTGAATAAAATAATTTTTAGAAAAAAATTATTTTCAAGTCTAGATTTTTTAAAGTTTATTTTCTTTTTGCTTCAAGTTTTATTTTTCTACCTTGCATCAAGTTTATTTATTTTTTTGCTTCAAGTTTTATTTTTTTTTTGTTTCAAGTTTATTTTCTGTTTCAAACTTATTTTTCTACCTTAAATCAACTTTATTTTTTTGCTTCAAGTTTTTGTACTCTTTTTCACCTCTTAGCATTTTTGTGGTGTAGTGGTAACGTAGTGGACTTTCCCCTTTCATTCGGTGTTGGTTCGAATCCTTTTGGGGCCAAATTATTTTTTCTTTATTTTTAAAGCAACTAAAAATATTTTTTAATTTTTAAAATAATTTTTTGACTTTTTAAAAAATTTATTTTAACATTTAAAAATTTAATTGCCCCTTTAAAAATAATTATTAATTTTAGCCCTTCCAGTAATCGAAACAATTGGGGAAGAAGAAGACGACGAAGAAGAAATCCCAGTAACTCAATCAGTTTTTGGTTTACAAGAATTGCCAGTTACTACTGAATCAATTTTTGGACAAGCAATATTTCTTCTTTTACTTTTTGTTATATTAGCTATAACTGGGACTGGAATTGTTTTGTTAATTACTAAAATTAAAGTTAATAAACAAAATAATAATAAACAATTGGTTGGGAATAAACAACAATTACAACGGTTGGAGGGAAATAATGGAAGGTAAATTTGAATGAAGAGGATTTTTTGTTTATGTTTTTGTGTTGGTGTGTTTTGGTGTTGTTTTGGGGTGTTTTTTCCAGACCTGGTTATGGATACGGATATGGATACAGATAATATCAAGATGCCTGCGGTTATCCGCCTATATCCGCTGTAAATGACCGGATACGGATACCAAAATCCGTATCCGTGACCAGGTCTGGGTTTTTCTGTGTTTTTATATTTTTTTTAAATTTTTTTACGAAGTAGGACGTTTTACCATTTTTACAATTCACTCTTAAGGTAAGGTTCTTCACCTGATCATAACTTCATTAATTTTTATCGTCCCAAATAATTCTTACACCTATCAATAGCTCTAAATCTACCGATTATTTTATTTAAGGGAACAATATGCTCAGATTTTCCTCTTAAATGTTGTTAACGTCTAAGCATAAAAAATCGCGATTTTTTATGCTTAGAAATTTGTAACTTTTTAGAGAATGGTCGGATCTGAACAGACCCAATATAGAAAAGAATGAGGACATTCATAGCTGTCGATTGGTATAAAAATTATTCGAAAAGATTTGAAATTAATAAAGTTATGATCCTTAAAAGGGTCCTCAGAGGTCCCTTTACCTAGTATTTTTTTTGGTTTTCTTCAATATTTTTCTTATTTAGATATCAAAGTCTAAAATATCCATGTATTCAACCAAAACAACATATTGGACCTATAATTAGTACAAGTTGTCAAGATTGTGGTACACCTCGCTTACAACATGAATGTAGTACTCCTCGTCTTGAAAAACAACAATGGCATAATAATAATACTTTTTTGGTAAAAATAAAGAAATTTTTTGAAAATATTTTTGGAAAAATCAATAGCTCTTTTTTTTGAAATTTCAAAAAATTTTTGAAATTTCAAAAAAAAATTTTTTTTCAAATTCCGCAGACTCAAACAACCCCCACTTCATTAAAAAAACAGCAACATCATTTATATGTCGACCCAACAACTTATGAGGACCCAACACAAATATTAGCAGCATTTACAAATGAAATATATGCAAAAGATGTTGAAATAACAAGAGTAATAGGTAGTGGTGAATTTGGGGAAGTTTGTTGTGGACGGTTAACTGTTGAAGATAGTTATGGACAGAGACAGGTATTTTTGAAACTTTTTTGCTTCAAGTTTTATTTTAAATTTTTCTTGAATGCTTCAAGTTTTGTATTTTAATTAAACTTTATTACAAGTTTATTTTAATAAATAAACTTTGCTTCAAGTTTTAATTTTTTGATAAATAAACTTTAAAAAAAGAACTTAAGTTTTATTTTTGTTGCTTCAAGTTTATTTTTTGAAAAATAGGTTTGAATAAGTTTATTTTTCAAAAAAAAGTTTATTTAAAAGTTTATTTTAATTAAAGTTTAATTAATAACAAAGTTTATTTTTTTTAAACTTAGAATAGGCTTATTTTTTTAAGTTTTTTTTCTAAGTTTTTGCTTCAAGTTTTCTTTAACTTTTAAAAAAGTTTTATTTTTAATAAACAAGTTTTATTTCTTTTAGCAACAAATAGTAGCAGTCAAGCGTTTGTTACCTGAAGCAAGTTGCAAAGCTAAAACAGACTTTTTGTTGGAAGCTTCTATAATGGGGCAATTTGTAAATTTTATTTTTTTCCTAAAAATTTTTTAAAAAATTTAAAGGAACACGAAAATGTTATTAGATTAATTGGGGTTGTTACAAGAACAGAGCCAGTTATGTTAATAACCGAATATATGTTGTATGGTTCTTTGGATCAATTTTTGAGGGCAAATAGAGATGGACAATTAACTATATGTCAATTAGTTAGATTATTGCATGGAATTGCTTGTGGAATGAATTATTTAACTGATAAGGCTTATGTTCATAGGGTAAACGAGAAAAAATTTTTTTGAAGCTTTTTGCTTCAGGTTTCCTGAACTTGAAACTTTTTTTGCTTCAAGTTTCTTGAACTTGAAACTTTTCTTGAAACACCTTTCTTGCATTAAAACATTGTCTCAAAATCCGATCTTTCTGGGTTGACATCTTATCGAGTTTCAGCTGTACTTTTTTCAATAACTTGTTATTTTTTGTGGTGTAGTGGTATCGCTTTAGGTTTTTACCCTTCTAATCAGCCTAGGTTCGAATCCTTTTGTTTGGAAATTATTTTTATTTAATTTTTGAGGCAATTGAATTGTTCTTTCTAATTTAAAAATTAATTTTGAACGTTAAAAAATTTTTTAACAGTCAAAAAAATTTAATTTCTTTAAAGGATTTGGCTGCCCGTAATGTTCTCGTCGACGACCGTTTAACTTGCAAAATTGCTGATTTTGGTTTAAGCCGAGGATTACGTCCAAGTAACAACAGTTCTGGTAGTGGTTCTCCACCTTTTATTGAACAGGAATATACAACACAACAAGGAGGGAAAATTCCAATTCGTTGGACAGCGCCAGAGGCGATAATGCAACATAAATATACAACAGCTTCGGATGTGTGGAGTTTTGGTGTTGTTATGTGGGAGGTGAGGAAAGAAAAAAATTTTTTATAGGTAACCCTTCATTATAAGATATCCCCAATAGTAGATACTCCTCTATTTAAGAGACGATTTTTTTAGAAATTTGGGTGATCATTGGGTAGGGTGAGCTGTCTACCTTTAAAGCGGTACCTTTTAATTTAAATTATTTACATCTCATTATAAGGCCACCATTTTGTAGAAACCTCAATAAGAATATTGGGTGTGAAGCAGGGATCTAGCCGACATAAAAATTCAATTCCCGATTTTCGGGAAGCGGGTCGGCTAGGTCCTTAGTTGTGGAGTGAGATTTCTATCAAGCTATGCCCTCTATTTAAGCTACCCTCAGTATATAAGATACATTTTTTCAGCCTTAAAGGTATATTTTATAAAATGAGTTTTGACCTTAGAAGCTTTTAAGAGATTTCCTAATTTTTCCCTAATTTTACCAATTTAAAGGTTTTATCATTTGGAGAACGTCCATATTGGGATTGGAGTAACCACAGAGTTATTCAAGAAGTTATTCATTCTGGTTATCGTTTACCAGCTCCACAAGACACTCCAAAACGTTTATATGAAATTATGATGACTTGTTGGTATGCAGAAAGGAATTTAAGGCCAACATTTGCCCAATTACTTTCACAATTAAATGCATTCCTTACAGATGTAGACTTTTTTTATAAATATATTTGAGAAAAAATTATAGAAAAAAATATATATATTTAATATAGGTGACTTTTTTTATAAATATATTTGAGAAAAAATTATAGAAAAAAATATATATATTTAATATAGGTGCCTAAAAATGTGATTTTTTATGAGAGAGATTCTTTTATATTGTCTCTAAAAATGTGTTTTTTTCATTGGTTTAAGAATCGGAATAAATTATACCCATATATTGAGAAAAATGATTGAATATGTTTGTAAGAGGGGCACTTGGCCATATAAGGGTTAGGAAGGTAGGGATGAGGGAGATCTCTTCCGCTTCCTCTTCAGATTTCTTATAATGTGGATTTTTTCCTGTTGTATTTTTAGTTTTATGTTCCCTCCAAAAGGAAGGGAGTTAAACCACTCTTTTTACCACTCTTTTTAATTCTTAAAAGGTTATCTTTAAAAGGATTTACTATATTTAGTCTCTCCTTTTCTTCTTTCATTTTCCCGGTGGAGTTCCCCCAGGTAGTGTTGTCGGATCCGTATCTGGAGAAGGTTCCAAGATCAGACAACCTTATTCTTAGAGAGTCTTTTTAAATTGTTTCGGGTTTAGTTAACTAAATATTTTAGGATTAAAAAAATTAAAATTTATTCCGATTCTTAAACCAAAAGTTGCTTTTCCTTTTTGCTTTCATTTATTTTTGAATTGTATACACAAACAAAACTGCCCATCAAAATTCTTCAAAAAAATATACAAAAATTTGTATACTTATAATTCCACGCCTATTGACTTTATCAATTTCAATTTTATTTTTTTGTTTCAAATATTAAATGGAAAAAATAAAATCAAATTTTTATTGAATAAAAAAAGAATTTTTAAATAAAATAAATTCCATTTAATACGAAAAATTTTTTTAATTTTTTTTTGTTCGAAGCACATATTCACGTATCTCAGAGCACAAACTCTCTCTCACTCATTGCCAGAATTATTTTTTTTTTAATTTTATTTTTTTCTCATCGTTTTTTTATATTGACGAGAAAATGATTAAAGAGTATTTTACTTTTAATATTTTTTTTTAATTTAAAATAGAAAAATTAAGCGCCGAACTCTGGTTAATTTTGATGGCTTAAAGGAAAACAACATTAATTCTATTTAAATTAATTCTGGTTTTTGTATTTCGGTTAATTCTGATTTTTGTATTTTCGTTTAATTCTGATTTTTGTATTTTCGGTTAATTCTGATTTTTAAAATTGTTTTTAATTGTTTTGTGTTTTGGTTAATTCTGATTTTGTATTTTTTTGTGTTTTCTGATTAAAGAATTAGGGAAAGGAAATTTTTGTATTTTCAGGTTTAATTAAATTCTGTTTTTATTTAATAATTCTGATTTTTTGTGTTTTTGATTTTGCTGTAAATTCTGATTTTTTGTTTGCGGCTAATTCTGATTTTTGTGTTCTTTGTAATTCTGATTAAACAAGTGGGAAGACAAACATTTGTATTTTCAATTTTAATTAGAAAATTCTGATTATTCTACTAAGTTTTGTTTATCTGATGTTCGTTCAATGTTTTTATTAAATTCTGATTTGTTTTTAAATGTTTTAATTGTTTTCGGTTGTTTTGATGGGTGTTTTTGGAATATTCTGATTTTTGTTAATGTTTGTTTCTTCTCTATTCTTTTCCTACAAACACTATAATTTATCTTACAATTACAAGTAACTAAACAATTATAGCCCTCACACCCGTAGGCAATAAATATATTGCAAATTGAGACTATTACCGAATTTTCTTTTCGAAATTAACAAATAATTTTAGAGAATAAATTTGACACAAAAATATTTATTTACAAAATTAAAACCAAAAATATCTTTACATAGCTAAAAAATTTAAACGAGTGTGGATTTTAAAATCGTCGCGAAGAGTATACTAAAAATTAAAGATTTTGTAAAGAAAAAATGGTACTTGTGGGTTGTCCCAAAGCAGTTTTTGCGGATGTATTTATCCGGACAAATAATCACAACGGTCAGGGCGTCCCTACTTACCCTTTTTCTATTCGAGAAAGTTTTTGCGGACATTTGGGGGAAATATCGAGATTGGGATGATTTCATTTTTATATCTAGTCATTTATGGGTACACAAAAATGTTAAAAAACTGGTTGGGATAACCCACAAATACCGAAAGAAATAATGGAAATTAACCTCAACAGTCAAATTGGTATGACCACCAGGACGATCCAAATGTGGAGGAAAGTTAACCCCGACCTACAAAAATAAATATACGAAAATAATACCTAAAAAATTTACATGTAATTTAACAGCTCTATCCTGAATAAGCGGTATAACACGTTGTCGCCTATTAAAAGCAATTGTTCGTTCAAGCAGAAATTCTTCCATAAATTCATTCATGGGGAGTTGGAACTTTGAATACTTTTCACACCAAATAATTATCGTCCCCCGTCTCTTTCCAACCAGTGACACCTTAAAATTTATCGGAATTAAAAATGTGAAATCTACTCAATAATCTATACATCTGTAATATGCAATCCTTCTCTAAAATTCTCTACTGTTTGCCAGAATTGACCAACAGTTAAAGAAGAGAGACGCATAACAGGTCCACCACTTGAATTTCTTGAAGAATCACTCATGATAAAAAAGGAAAGTTTAGGTTTAGAAGCCTTCTAAAATAAAATTTATTCAAAGATATTTGAATTTTGTGATCAAAATAAAATAAAAAAATTAAATTTAAAATTATTTATTCATAAATTATAGGCAAAAAATTTTTTTTAGCATTTCTTTTATCTTCCAAAATCGATGACAGAAGACACCTAACCCAGTAAAAGCCCCTCCTAAACATTAACCAAAAAAACCTAAATAGGCGTCCTTGTAAGGCTTTCCATTATCCAACGTTTCCAACGAAGCTAGCTCAACAGCATCTATTTCAATTAAAGAAGCCAATTTATTTAGTAAATGTCCACGGGATGAAGCATCCATCCGCCGCCATTCAGAGCCCAATTTGAAGGCATCACAAGCTGCCTGAAATTTATTTATAAATTTAAAAGGTAGAAAAACCGAAATTGCAAGAATGCTTCTTGGTAGAGTAATAAAGAAAAGGGTCCAGAAAATTTATTTTTTTGAAAAATCCAAGAAACATATTTGACCCAAAACAACTTAAAACAGTCAAATAAAATCATTAACACCCAACAGGACTCGAACCCGAGACCCCTAAACTCCCAAACCAAACACATATCCACTACACAACAAACACAACTTTAGAAGTAAATGCATTAAACAACCTCAAAAAATTAACCTTAACATCAGCGTCAATATCAGCCTTATCCACTTTTTGCATTTGAGCAATCTTAGTTTTAGTCGACGGACCAAAAATCTTCGAAAAAAAAAATTAAACAAAAATTTTCTAATTCAAAAAGAAAACCTCTTCTTGAGTAATTTTCATTTCAGATTTTACATCAGAAAATATTGTTGGTTGAACAAAGTAACCATTATTTGCTTCTTTCCCAACAAATTTTCCTCCTCCAGTAACTAATTTTGTGCCCTCTTTTTTGTCTGTGCTTGATTAGTCGAAGAATTTTGATTCCTTGATCACCATCAATTTGAGGTCCGTGGCTCAATGAATCCAACTGTTATTTGAAAGTCCAGAGTGAAATTCCACTCATAATTTTAGGTTTAGAAATTAACTTAAATTCAAAAATTTGAGGAATTTTGTGACCAAAAATCAGCAATGATTTAAAAGAATAAAATTTGACATAAAAATATTTATTTACAAAATAAAACCAAAAATATTTTTATATTGCCAAAAAATCTTTTTTCGTCAAAAAACTCATAAACTTCGACAGAGTCAACGGTCCAGATGTTTAGGTATTTTAAAGTCGTCGCGAAGAGTATACTAAAAACTTAAAAATTTATTTAAAAAACACTGGAAATTACCTCAACAACCAATTCGATAAAGCCGCCAGAAGGAAGGTTTAAACGTGGAGGAGTTTTGATCCCAACCTAAAAAATCAATATAACAAAAAAAAACTAGAAAGATTTTACATATAAGGTGACAGTTCTATTTTGAATAAGTGGTGTAACTAGATGAAACTTGCAAGCACGTTTAAGCCGATTAGAAGCAATTATCCCATCACGCAAAAACTCTTCCATAAATTTATTCACGGGAAGTGGCTCCTTTGAAAACTTTTCATCCCAAATACCTGATATATTCTGCCTCTTGCAAACCATTACCACCTGAAAATTAATTTAGTAAAAAACATGTAGAAACTTTTTATTAATCTATACCTCTTTAATATGCGATCCTTCTCTAAAATCCTCTACTGCCTGCTTGAACTGACCAACAGTTAAAGAGGAAAGACGCATATCAAACCCATTACTTGAATTTCCAGAAGAATCACTCATGATAAAAAAGTTATATTTAGTAATTATCTAAAATAAAATTTAAAAGCAAACTACATATATATTTGGAGATAAATGGAATTTTGTATTCAAAATCTAATAAATATTTAAAAAATCAGATTCAAAAATATTTATCAATAAAATAAGGCCACGAATAAAGATTTTTCTTTTATGTTGAGCAAAAATTTATAAAATAAGCAGTCAAAAATTTTAAAACAAAAATTAATTAAGGCCATCAAATCATCTGCAATCCTCTTCTCTAATATTGAGGAATGTCATAGTCAGATCGGTAGGTATACTAAAAGTTAAAGATTTTTTCTCAAAAGTCAGGGAAATTTAAAACAAATCTAAGAACACTATTTGAAAATCGAAAAGCAAAAAACGATTTTAGAAAAAAATTTCTAGTAGAAACTGAAATCATTCAAATTTCGCCTAGTATCAGGTAAAAGCCTATTAAAGTTATTTACCTATTCATTAGAAATTAAAAATTAACCTCGACTCTAATCCAATTATTTGTTCCATCATTTACTACCCAAGTCGGAAGCAGAACATTGACCTGAATTATCAATTAAAAATAATCTTCTATCAAAAATTTACATAAAGAACGACTGTCCTTTCATAAAATAAAGGACGGCGAATATCTACATTTTCTTGTATGCGTTGATTGTTGAAAGCAATTATTCCATTATGAATGAACTCCTCCATTAAAGTCTCTGAAATGAACTCGGAGTGATCTTGATCCCAAACTACAATACGACCAACGACACCCTGCAGCTCAATCTTAATTAAATCACAATTACAAAAATTTAGAATCTACACATTAATTTATACCCTTATCATTTGGTTGCCTCCTTGTCCATGCTCATCTATTGCTTCTTCAAAATCTTCAACCGATAATGCAGAAAGCATGAAAATATCACTACTCGAAGCACCAGAGGAGTTGGATGAGTCCATTATAAAATTTGATAAAAAAATCAAGACAATTATTTAACTAAAAGTGAAATGATTAAAGTTAAATTATTCAAAAATAAAAAAAAATTGCGGAAATTTTCAACCGCTATTACAAAATTTTTGTCAAGCATAAATCATCAATATTTATTTAAAAATCAAAATTAGTATAAAATAGTCTAACAAAATTTGAGCCATAATATAAAAACCCGAATTCTTTGTAAACAAAGTCATCCTCCTCAGGAATTCTTTTGAGGAACCTTTAAAATTAAAAAAGCTTCCAAAAAAATCTAAAATATCCTAACCTTAATAGTCACAGTCTTTACTTCTGTATATGGCTCCAATCCATATTCACCCAGTTCTCGGCCTATACCAGACATTTTATATCCACCAAATGGAGCAGCGGCGTCGAAGACGTCGTAGCAGTTTACCCTTTAAAGGAGAAAAATTGTTTAAAAGCGTAGAAATTAGTTTTAGGAATGTTAGTGAAAAATGAAATTTAATCCTCCAAATCTGAAGCAAAAATTGAAAAAGAGAAAACTGATTCAAAAGAATTAAAAGAAAAAATCCAAAAACTGAAGAAAAACTTCAAGAAAGATTTAGAACAAAAACCCCAAAATTCAATAATCCCCCTTAAAGAGAATCAAAAAAAATATTAAAAAACTAACCAAACAGTCCCGGCTCTGATATTGTTAGCTATATACAAAGCTTTGTCCATGTCTCGAGTAACCACACCAGCAGCCAATCCATAGCAAGTCTCATTAGCTTTTTCCACCAAATCTTTAAGGTCATCAAATTTAATGATTGACATCACTGGACCAAAAATCTTTGAAAAAAATTTTTTTTTGTTTTTTAAATTCAAAAAAACCTCTTCTTGAGCAATTTTCATTTCAGATTTAACATCAGAAAATATTGTTGGTTCGACAAAGTAACCATTATTTGCTTCTTTCCCAACAAATTTTCCTCCTCCAGTAACCAATTTAGCTCCCTCTTTTTTGCCGTGCTCAATTAGACGAAGAATTTTGGTTTCCTGATCACCATCGATTTGAGGGCCGTGATTGACATTTAAGTCGAAAGGATTGCCCAATACGCGACTCTCTGCGAGGATCTTAAAAATAAATAAGATTAAATTTATGAAGCAAAGGCCTTGAAGCAAAAAATAATAAAACTTCAAGCAAAAAAAATGATAAAAAATTTGAAACTAAAAAGAAAAAATTTTTGCTTCAAAAAAACTTGAAGCAAAAAAGAAAAAATAGAAGCAAAAAAGGGAAAAAACTTAAAACAAAAAATTTTTTGCTACAGAAAAAACTTGAAATAAAAATCGAAGCAAAAGAAATGAAAAAAATTGAAGAAAGGGAAAAAACATGAAACAAAAAAATTTTTTGCTTCAGAAAAAACTTGAAGCAAAAATTGAAGCAAAGGAAAAAAACTTGAAGCAAAAAAGCTTAAAAAGACTTAAAGCAAAAATTGATGCAAAGGAAAGAAACTTGAAGCAAAAAATTTTTGCTTCAAATAAATTTGAAGCAAAGAAAAACTTGAAGCAAAAAAATGAAAAAAAACTTAAAGCATAAAATTTTTGCCTCAATCATTTAAAGTACAAGTTATAGCAAAGAAAAACAGAAAGCTTGTTGAAGCAAGAAGATATAAGGAGCGAAAAAATGAAGTCGAAACAGAAAAATAAAATCGGAAACAAAAGATCAAAATGAAAAAAGAAAATACAAAAATATAAAGCAAAGAATAAAAACATAAAAAAATAAAACTTCAAAAACTAAACTTGAAACAAATTAAAAACTCAAAAAAAACTTGCAAACCTTAGAACGTTCCACAAATTCATCATAAATTTTTGATTCCACAAAAGTCCTAGAGCCAGCACAACAACATTGGCCTTGATTAAAAAAGAGTCCAAAAGCAGCCTGTTCCACCGCAAGAGGCATATCAGCATCAGAAAAAATTATATTCGGGCTTTTGCCTCCAAGCTCTAGAGTTATTCTAAAAATTTGTTTCTACTTAAATAAATAATTAAATTAACCGTTTTAAATTTGCTTCAGAACATTCACGCTTGACTTGCAATCCAACTTCGGTTGAGCCAGTGAATGCAACTAGAAAAATAATAAAGCTGAAGCAAAAGTAAAAACAAGAATTAAAACGGAGGGGAAAATAAAAAATAAACTTAAAACAGAAATTTGAAGCAAAAAATAAATAAAATTGGAAAAAGAGAAACTTGAAGCAAATAAACACTCAAAATAAACTTAAATCGGAAATATAAGAATAAAACAGAAAGATAAATAAACTTGAATCAAAAATAAACTTGAAATAAATAAAAGAAACAAACTTGAAGCAAAATTTAATTTTTTTATGCTTCAAGTTTACTTGTTAAACTATCGTAAACAAAAAATAAACTTGAAACAAGGGCAGAAAATAAACTTGGAAAAATAAATAAAATAAAACTTGAAGCAAAAACTTGAAGCAAATTAGAAACAAACTTGAAACAAATTTTGCTTCAAGTTTATTTTCCCACAATTTATTCATTTCAAGCAAAAATACCCTATAATAAAATTAACCTTTATCCACTTTAGGATGTGTAGCAAGTGCCTTTCCAGCTGTCGGTCCATAACCAGGCACAATATTAACGACTCCGGGAGGGAAGCCAGCCTTCAATTTAAAAAATTAAAAAAAATTTAATTTAAAATTTAACCTCTTTAACCAAATTAGCAACATACAGAGCCGTTAATGGAGTTTGTTCAGCGGGCTTCAAAATGACTGTGTTGCCCATTGCCAAGGCTGGTGCTAATTTCCAAGCTTGCATGAGTAGAGGGAAGTTCCATGGGATGATTTGGCCTTTAAATTGAAATTTTTTTTGAATTTTAAAAATCATTTCAAAATGTCAAAAAAGAAAAAAATTCCAAAATGTCAACTCCTCGATGCTATTCAAAAGATTTTCAAAAAAGATTTTTCACCTACCAACAACTCCAACAGGCTCATGACGTGTATAACAAAAATAATCGCCTCCTATAGGTATTGTCTTTCCATGGTTTTTGTCTGCCCAACCAGCATAATAGCGATAAACGGCAATTGAGAGAGGCAGGTCAGCTGAATTAAATTTTTTAAAAAGAAATTTTAAAAGTTGAGAAAGACTTTAAACTAGGTTGTGACCTTAATAAGAAAGGGATAGATATACGGAGAACGGAGGTAGCAAAATTCATAAGGTGTTGTGCACAATGTAAGCTTGCAAATTCCCGAGGGAAGCAGCACGGAGACGAAAGGCGGGGAAAAAAGGTCGCTGAGGAAGACCTCCTCCGCTTCACAAGGACCTTTCTTTCATTAGACGAAGGTCGAAAACAACTTTAACCAAAAAATAAAATGAAAACCTAAATAGGCGTCTTTGTAAGGCTTTCCATTATCCAACGTTTCCAGAGAAGCTAGCTCAACAGCATCCCTCTCAATTAAAGAAGCCAATTTATTTAGTAAAAGTCCACGGGCTGAAGCATCCATACGACGCCATTCTGAGCCCAATTTGAAGGCGTCACAAGCTGCCTAAAATTTATATTTTAATTCGAAAAGGGGAGAAGGATGACGGGGAGATTACCAACTCACAACCAGCATTAAAGTCGGAAAAGGGGTCCAGAAAATTTAAAAAAATTTTCTGAAAAACTCAAGAAACATATTTGACCCAAACAACTCAAAAACAGTCAAATAAAATAGTTAGCCCCCAACAGGACTCGAACCCAAGACACCCTAAGTTGTCATACCAAACACACATCCACTACACCACAAGCACAAATTTCGAAATTTTTGCAGTAAATAATCTCACAAGAATTAACCTTAACAGCAGCGTCAATATCAGCCCTATCCCCCTCTTGCACTTCCGCAATTTTAGTTTTAGTCGACGGTTTTAGTCGACATTCTCAGCCCAATTTGAAGGCATCACAAACTGCCTGAAATTTATTTTTGAATTTAAAATGTAAAAAAACAGGACTGAAAAAATCCTGCTAATTGGTAAAATAATTTAGAAAAGGGTCCAGAAAATTTAAAAAAAAATTTTTTTGAAGCGCTCAAAAAACATATTTGACTTAAAACAACCTAAAAATAGCCAAATAAAATTATTAACACCTGAAGGATTCGAACCCTAGACCCCCAAATCAAGCACACATGCACCAAACCACAAGCACAATTTTCGAAATTTTTGCACTAAACACATCAAAAAATTAACCTTAACATCAACAACAAAATCATTCTTATCCCCATATTGCACTTCAGCAATTTTAGTTTTAGTCGACGGACCAAAAATCTTTGAAAAAATTTTTTTCGTTTTTTAAATTAAAAAAAACCTCTTCTTGAGCAATTTTCATTTCAGATTTAACATCACAAAATATTGTTGGTTGAACAAAATAACCATTATTTGCTTCTTTTCCAACAAACTTTCCTCCTCCAGTAACTAATTTTGTGCCCTCTTTTTTGTCTGTGCTCGATTAGTCGAAGAATTTTGATTTCTTGATCACCTCAATGAAATCACAGTTATTTGAAAGTGTAGAGTGAAATTTCACTCATAATTTTATGTTTAGCAATTATCTAAAATTAAATTTGTTCAAAAATTTAAGGAATTTTATGATCAAAATCCTGAACTGATTTTTGAAAGTAAATTTTGACATAGATATATTTATTCACAAAATTAAAACCAAAAATATTTTTATATTGCCAAAAAATCTTTTTAGTCAAAAAATCCATAAAATACAACAAAACTAGTCAGCGGCTTAGACGGTTGGGGATTTTAAAATCGTCGCGAAGAGTATACTAAAAAATTAAAAATTTTGTAAAGGAATTTGTAACGGAAATTAACCTCAACTTTCAAATTGATATGACCACCAGGACAGTCCAAAAATGCAGGAAAGCTGACCCCGACCTAAAAGATAAATGTACAAAAAAACCCCCAACGATTTTACATGTAAGGTGACCGTTCTATTTTGAATAAGTGGTATAGCACGTTGTCGCCGATTAAAAACAATTGTTCGTTCAAGCAGAAATTCTTCCATAAATTCATTCATGGGGAGTTGGAACTTTGAATACTTTTCATACCAAATAATTATCAACCCCCGTCTCTTTCTATCCATTGACATCTTAAAATTTATCGGAATTAAAAATGTGGAATCTACTCAATAATCTATACATCTGTAATATGCAATTCTTCTCTAAAATTCTCCACTGCTTTCCAGAATTGACCAACAGTTAAAGAAGAGAGACGCATAACAGGTCCACCACTTGAATTTCCCGAAGAATGACTCATGATAAAAGAGGAAAGTTTAGGTTTAGAAGCCTTCTAAAATAAAATTTATTCAAAGGAAATTACTCATTTAAAGATATTTGAATTTTGTGATCGAAATCAAAAATAAAAAAAACATAAAATTAAATTTAAAATTATTTATTCATAAATTATGGGCAAAAAAATTTTTTATCTTCCAAAATCGATGACAGAAGACACCTAACCCAGTAAAGGCCCCTAACCCATTAACCAAAAAAACCTAAATAGGCGTCCTTGTAAGGCTTTCCATTATCCAACGTTTCCAACGAAGCTAGCTCAACAGCATCTATTTCAATTAAAGAAGCCAATTTATTTAGTAAATGTCCACGGGATGAAGCATCCATCCGCCGCCATTCAGAGCCCAATTTGAAGGCATCACAAGCTGCCTGAAATTTATTTATAAATTTAAAAGGTAGAAAAACCGAAATTGCAAGAATGCTTCTTGGTAGAGTAATAAAGAAAAGGGTCCAGAAAATTTATTTTTTTGGAAAATCCAAGAAACATATTTGACCCAAAACAACTTAAAACAGTCAAATAGAATCATTAACACCCAACAGGACTCGAACCCGAGACCCCTAAACTCCCAAACCAAACACATATCCACTACACAACAAACACAACTTTAGAAGTAAATGCATTAAACAACCTCAAAAAATTAACCTTAACATCAGCGTCAATATCAGCCTTATCCACTTCTTGCATTTGAGCAATCTCAGTTTTAGTCGACGGACCAAAAATCTTCGAAAAAAAAATTAAACAAAAATTTTCTAATTCAAAAAGAAAACCTCTTCTTGAGCAATCTTCATTTCAGATTTAACATTAGACAATATTGTTGGTTGAACAAAGAAACCATTATTTGCTTCTTTCCCAACAAATTTTCCTCCTCCAGTAACTAATTTTGTGCCCTCTTTTTTGTTGTGCTTGATTAGTCGAAGAATTTTGATTTCTTGATCACCATCAATTTGAGGTCCGTGGCTCAATGAATCCAACTGTTATTTGAAAGTCCAGAGTGAAATTCCACTCATAATTTTAGGTTTAGAAATTAACTTAAATTCAAAAATTTGAGGAATTTTGTGACCAAAAATCAGCAATGATTTAAAAGAATAAAATTTGACATAAAAATATTTATTTACAAAATAAAACCAAAAATATTTTTATATTGCCAAAAAATCTTTTCAAAAAACCCATAAACTTCAACAAAATCAACGGTCTAGATGTTTAGGTATTTTAAAGTCGTCGCGAAGTGTATACTAAAAATTTGAGATTTTATTTAAAATAATTATGGAAATTACCTCAACAACCAATTCGATAAAGCCGCCAGAAGGAAGGTTTAAACGTGGAGGAGTTTTGATCCCAACCTAAAAAATCAATATAACAAAAAAAACTAGAAAGATTTTACATATAAGGTGACAGTTCTATTTTGAATAAGTGGTGTAACTAGATGAAACTTGCAAGCACGTTTAAGCCGATTAGAAGCAATTATCCCATCACGCAAAAACTCTTCCATAAATTTATTCACGGGAAGTGGCTCCTTTGAAAACTTTTCATCCCAAATACCTGATATATTCTGCCTCTTGCAAACCATTACCACCTGAAAATTAATTTAGTAAAAAACATGTAGAAACTTTTTATTAATCTATACATCTTTAATATGCGATCCTTCTCTAAAATCCTCTACTGCCTGCTTGAACTGACCAACAGTTAAAGAGGAAAGACGCATATCAAACCCATTACTTGAATTTCCAGAAGAATCACTCATGATAAAAAAGTTATATTTAGTAATTATCTAAAATAAAATTTAAAAGCAAACTACATATATATTTGGAGATAAATGGAATTTTGTATTCAAAATCTAATAAATATTTAAAAAATCAGATTCAAAAATATTTATCAATAAAATAAGGCCACGAATAAAGATTTTTCTTTTATGTTGAGCAAAAATTTATAAAATAAGCAGTCAAAAATTTTAAAACAAAAATTAATTAAGGCCATCAAATCATCTGCAATCCTCTTCTCTAATATTGAGGAATGTCATAGTCAGATCGGTAGGTATACTAAAAGTTAAAGATTTTTTCTCAAAAGTCAGGGAAATTTAAAACAAATCTAAGAACACTATTTGAAAATCGAAAAGCAAAAAACGATTTTAGAAAAAAATTTCTAGTAGAAACTGAAATCATTCAAATTTCGCCTAGTATCAGGTAAAAGCCTATTAAAGTTATTTACCTATTCATTAGACATTAAAAATTAACCTCGACTCTAATCCAATTATTTGTTCCATCATTTACTACCCAAGTCGGAAGCAGAACATTGACCTGAATTATCAATTAAAAATAATCTTCTATCAAAAATTTACATAAAGAACGACTGTCCTTTCATAAAATAAAGGACGGCGAATATCTACATTTTCTTGTATGCGTTGATTGTTGAAAGCAATTATTCCATTATGAATGAACTCCTCCATTAAAGTCTCTGAAATGAACTCGGAGTGATCTTGATCCCAAACTACAATACGACCAACGACACCCTGCAGCTCAATCTTAATTAAATCACAATTACTAAAATTTAGAATCTACGCATTAATTTATACCCTTATCATTTGGTTGCCTCCTTGTCCATGCTCATCTATTGCTTCTTCAAAATCTTCAACCGATAATGCAGAAAGCATGAAAATATCACTACTCGAAGCACCAGAGGAGTTGGATGAGTCCATTATAAAATTTGATAAAAAAATCAAGACAATCTATTACCTTAAAATGAAATGATTAAAATTAAATTATTCAAAACAAAAAAAAATTGCGGAAATTTTCAACCGCTATTACAAAATTTTTGTCAAGCATAAATTATCAATATTTATTTAAAAATCAAAATTAGTATAAAATTGTCTACAAGACTTGAGCCAAAATATAAAAACCCGAATTCTTTGTAAACAAAGTCATCCTCTTCAGGAATTCTTTTGAGAAACCTTTAAAATTAAAAAAGCTTCCAAAAAAATCTAAAATATCCTAACCTTAATAGTCACAGTCTTTACTTCTGTATATGGCTTTAATCCATATTCACCCAATTCCCGGCCAATTCCAGACATTTTATATCCACCAAATGGAGCAGCGGCGTCGAAGACGTCGTAGCAGTTTACCCTTTAAAGGAGAAAAATTGATTAAAAGCGTAGAAATTAGTTTTAGGAATGTTAGTGAAAAATGAAATTTAATCCTCCAAATCTGAAGCAAAAATTGAAAAAGAGAAAACTGATTCAAAAAAATTAAAAGAAAAAATCCAAAAACTGAAGAAAAACTTAAGAAAGTAGATTTAGAACAAAAACCCTAAAATTCAATAATCCCCCTTAAAGAGAATCAAAAAAATATTAAAAAACTAACCAAACAGTCCCGGCTCTGATATTGTTAGCTATATACAAAGCTTTGTCCATGTCTCGAGTAACCACACCAGCAGCCAATCCATAGCAAGTCTCATTTGCTTTTTCCACCAAATCTTTGAGGTCATCAAATTTAATGATTGACATAACTGGACCAAAAATCTTTGAAAAAAATTTTTTTTGTTTTTTAAATTCAAAAAAACCTCTTCTTGGGCAATTTTCATTTCAGATTTAACATCAGAAAATATTGTTGGTTGAACATAATAACCATTATTTGCTTGTTTTCCAACAAATTTTCCTCCTCCAGTAACCAATTTTGCACCCTCTTTTTTGCCGTGCTCAATTAGACGAAGAATTTTTGTTTCTTGATCACCATCGATTTGTGGTCCGTGATTGACATTTAAGTCGAAAGGGTTGCCCAAAATACGACTCTCTGCGAGGATCTTAAAAATAAATAAAATTAAATTTTTGAAGTAAAAACTAGGCTTTGAAGCAAAAAAATAATAAAACTTGAAGCAAAAAAATGAAAAAGAACGAAGCAAGAAAGGGAAAAAACTTAAAGCAAAAAATTTCTGCTTCAAAATACTTGAAGAAAAAAAATGAAAAAAAAAATTGAAGCAAAAAAGAAAAAATTTTTGCTTCAAAAAAACGAAGCAAAAAAATGAAAAAAAATTTGAAGCAAAAAATTGAAAGGAAAAACACTAGTAGCAAAAAAGAAAAAATAGAAGCAAGAAAGGGAAAAAACTTGAAACAAAAAATTTTTTGCTTCAGAAAAAACTTGAAGTAAAAATCGAAGCAAAGGAAAAAACTTGAAGCAAAAAAGCTTCAAAAGACTTGAAGTAAAAATTGATGCAAAGGAAAGAAACTTGAAGCAAAAAATTTTTGCTTCGAATAAACTTGAAGCAAAAAAGAAAAAAATTGAAGCAAAGGAAAACTTGAAGCAAAAAATAAAAAAAACTTGAAGCATAAAATTTTTGCTTTGACCATTTAAAGTACAAGTTATAGCGAAAAAAAACAGAATGTTGAAGCAATGAGATATAAGGAGCGAAAAAGTAACAGAAAATAAGTCGAAACAGAAAAATAAAATAGGAAGCAAAAAATCAAAATGAAAAAAGAAATATAAGCAAAAAATATAAAGCAAAAAATAAAAAAACATAAAGCAAAAAAACCTCAAAATTAAACATAAAGCAAAATAAAAACTCAAAAAACTTGCAAACCTTAGAACGTTCCACAAATTCATCATAAATTTTTGATTCCACAAAAGTCCTCGAACCAGCACAACAACATTGGCCTTGATTGAAAAAGAGTCCAAAAGCAGCCTGTTCCACCGCAAGAGGCATGTCGGCATCAGAAAAGATTATATTTGGACTCTTTCCTCCAAGCTCCAGAGTTATTCTAAAAATTTGTTTCTACTTATTTACATAAATAATTTAATTAACCGTTTCAAATTTGCTTCAGAACATTCACGCTTGACTTGTAGTCCAACCTCAGTTGAGCCAGTGAATGCAACTATAAAAATAATAAAGTTGAAGCAAAAGTAAAAACAAGAATTGAAACGGAGGGGAAAATAAAAAATAAACTTAAAACAGAAATTTGAAGCAAAAAAAAAAAAAATTGGAAAAAGAGAAACTTGAAGCAAATAAACACTCAAAATAAACTTAAATCGGAAATATAAGAATAAAACAGAAAGATAAATAAACTTGAATCAAAAATAAACTTGAAATAAATAAAAGAAACAAACTTGAAGCAAAATTTAATTTTTTTATGCTTCAAGTTTACTTGTTAAACTATCGTAAACAAAAAATAAACTTGAAACAAGGGCAGAAAATAAACTTGGAAAAATAAATAAAATAAAACTTGAAGCAAAAACTTGAAGCAAATTAAAAACAAACTTGAAACAAATTTATTTATTTTTGCTTCAAGTTTATTTTCCCAAAATTTATTCATTTCAAGCAAAAATACCCTATAATAAAATTAACCTTTATCCACTTTAGGATGTGTAGCAAGTGCCTTTCCAGCAGTTGGTCCAAAACCAGGCACAATATTAACGACTCCTGGAGGGAAACCAGCCTTCAAATCGAAAATTTTTTTAAAATTTGATTAAGAAAATTTAACCTCTTTAATTAAATTAGCAACATACAGAGCCGTTAACGGAGTCTGTTCAGCTGGCTTCAAGATAACTGTGTTGCCCATAGCCAGGGCTGGTGCTAACTTCCAAGCTTGCATAAGAAGAGGGAAGTTCCATGGGATGATTTGGCCTTTAAATTGAAAAATTTTTGAAATTTTTAAAATCATTTCAAAATGTCAAAAAAGAAAATAAATTCCAAAATGTCAACTCCTCGACTATTCAAAAGATTTTCAAAAAAAATTTTTCACCAACCAACAACTCCAACAGGCTCATGACGTGTATAGCAAAAATAGTCTCCTCCTATAGGTATTGTCTTTCCATGGTTTTTATCAGCCCAGCCAGCATAATAACGATAAACGGCAATTGAAAGAGGCAGGTCAGCTGAATTAAAATTTTTATAAAAAGCAATTTCTAAAAATTGAGAGACTTTAAACTAGGATGGGGCCTTACAAGGGAGAGGATTGATATACGGAGAATGGAGGTAGCAAGATTCAAAGTGTGCACAATAAAAATTTTCAAATTCTCCGAGAGGGAAACAGCCCGAAGACGAACTGCAGAGCAGAAAGTGGCACCGAAGGAAGACCTCCTCCACTTCACAGGGACCTCACTTCCATTAGACGCAGGTCGAAGACGACTTAAGCCATAAAAAATAAAGTGAAATTAAAAACCTAAATAGGCGTCCTTGTAAGGCTTTCCATTATCCAAAGTCTCCAAAGAAGCGAGCTCAACAGCATCCCTTTCAATTAGGGAAGCTAATTTATTTAGTAAAAGTCCACGGGCTGAAGCATCCATACGGCGCCATTCAGAGCCCAATTTAAAGGCATCACAGGCAGCCTAAAAAAATTTTTTTTAATAATGAAAGAGGAGAAGGATGACGGGGAGATTACCAACTCACAATCAGCATTAAGGTCGGAAAAGGGGTCCAGAAAATTAAAAAAAATTTTCTGAAAAACTCAAGAAACATATTTGACCCAAACAACTCAAAAACAGTCAAATAAAATCGTTAGCACCCAGCAGGATTCGAACCCGAGACCCCCTAAGTTGTCAAACCAGACACACATCCACTACACCACAAACACAAATTTTGAAAATTTTGCACCAAAAAATTCCAAAGAATTAACCTTAACAGCAGCATCAATATCAGCCTTATCCCCCTCTTGCACTTCCGCAATTTTAGTTTTGGTCGCAGGATTGATGGTCGGAAAGGTTCTTCCACTCTTTGAGTTGACCCATTCGTTGTTAATAAAAATCTGAAAATTTTTTGAAAAAAAAATTTTTTTGAAATTTTTTTTTTGAAAATTTTTTAGAAAACCTGAGTGAATTTCGGTTCATCCTCCCAAACAGGTTTAGGTGACGGAATTTTAACTGCTGAAGCAAAGCCGCGAATAGACGAGGAAGTTAATAATTTACAGGTATTTTTATTTAAAATTCGTTGCATTTTTAATTTAAAAAATCTAATAAAAAAATTTAAAAAATTAAGCGGTTAGGCAACATACCCAAGAATTTATTAAATCAATTATACTTTTTAAATTGATAAAATGAATAAGGAGTGAATGAGAAAAAGTACTAAAGTTTAAAAAAATAAAATCAATTTATAGTCTTTTTCCCATCTTTGTTTCGGAGCAGGACTAATAGGCGTGGCCGAATAGGCGCTATTTTTTCGGCGCAGGATGTTTTTGGCGTTGAGTCGCCCGCGCCTATTCGGCCGCGCCTATTAGTCGTGTAATAACTTGAGAGAAAAACATTAACAGAAATCAGAATATTCAAAAAACATCAAAAATCAGAACAACTGAAAACAATTAAAACATTTAAAAAAGCCAGAATTTAATAAAAACATTGAAAGTATCTCAGAAAAACAAAACATTAAAAAATCAGAATTTAATTTAAACATGTTTGTCAAAATTAAAAAATCAGAATTTAATAAAAACATTAAATGTACCAGAAAAACAAAACATTTAAAAAAACAGAATTTAATTAAAACATTGAATGTACCAGAAAAACAAAACATTTAAAAAATCAGAAGTTAATAAAAACATTGAATGTACCAGAAAAACAGAACATTAAAAAATCAGAATTTAATTAAAACATGTTTGTCAGAATAATTAAAAACAAACCAGAATTTAATAAAAACATTAAACGAACATAGGGGAAAACAAATAAAACAGTTAAAAAATCAGAATTTCCTCAACATAAAATCAGAATTTAAAAATAAACTAAAAACAGAAAAATAAAATCAGAATTATTAAATTGAATAAAATCAGAAATTAATTATTGTTGAGAATGCGATATCTTTTATTTATTCTTTTGTTGGTACTTTATGGATATGTCACCCCCCTCCTATTTTGAGTCTCAGAGTTTTCCTTAAATGTAGAAAATGGTCAGAGATTATTTTCTTCTCCGTGTCAATCATCTTTTTCTTCTTCAAGTATTTTGCTTGTTTATTTTGCTTTTTCTTATATTTTGTACTTACATTTCACTCATTTCGTTTCTACATTTACCACATTTCACTTATTTTGCTTGGAGAAAGAAAAATGATTGACACGGAGAAGAAAATAATCTCTGACCATTTTCTACATTTAAGGAAAACTCTGAGACTCAAAATAGGAGGGGGGTGACATATCCATAAAGTACCCTTTTGTTTAATAATTATGTGTTTACCAAAGTGTTCAACAAAAAATAATATAGGCCCATATTTATTTTTTTTTAAATTGCTACTCTCTTTTCACATTTTTTGACGTTTGAAAATAGAAAAAAGATTATTTTTTCTAAACAAAATTTTTTAAAAATAAAATTGGAGAGGAAGTTACACCACTACATAGTTGCATGTTGAAGCGGTACACCTCAATTGAGTCGGGACTCAATTGAGTCCCGACTCAATTGAGTCCCGGACCCTATAACTTATGAAGGGATGGTCACTTTTTGCTACTCTTGATACCATTGGATAGGGCATTAAATAGGCTACAATATACCAAAAAAATCAAAATTCCCGACCGACTGGTAAAAAAGTTATTATCGATAAAGTGCCGAAAAATCCGATTTTTTTGAAAAAGTTAGTTTTTATATCATAACTTTTTTATCAATAGGTCAAAAATTCTGATTTTTTGATATGTTGTAAAGCTTTTGATTCTCTATCCAATGATACCACGAACATTAAAAATTATCAACCCGTACTTGAGTTATAGGGCCGGGACTCAATTGAGCCGGGACTCAGTTGAACTGCTCCGATGTTGAAGGCATTTCTTTGACCATAACTTCTCTTATTTTCGACCAAACCAAACAAATCTTATATCATTTGATAGTTTTGAATCTGGGGATTTAATTCCGACAAATTTCATTTCTATAGCTACATCAAGAAAAAAGTTAGAGGCGGATAAACAACAAAAATCATGATTTTTCATACTTTTTAGAGTCTAACTTTTTTATGATTGATCAGATCAAATCAATTCCTTTAAGAAAAATGATCAGCACATTTAGGGCTTTTGAAAGAAATTTAAATTATTTCGAATGGTTAAATAATAAAAAAGTTATGGACCAAAACGTAACCTCTACTTCACATTAAACGGCTGCGCCGAAACGTCCCCTATATAATTTCTCCCCAAATTTTATTTTTTCCTTTAAAATAATTTTTAAAAATTCTATTTTTTATTTAAATACAAAAACCTTTAAAAAATTTCTATAAAAAATTTTTTTTAATTTTTCTTAGGAAAAATTTACCCTGCACGAATTTAATACCCCTAATTATAGCCTAAAATAAAGGTGAATATCGCGTGCAGACCAGAAGAAAATACCGTATTTATTCTAATAGAATGGCCCCTCCATTAGAATGGCCCCTCCAATAGAATGGCCCTTTTAACTACAAAACATACCTAATACATTTCTTTATTTTCTTATTACCTGTTAAATAGTACTCTTTAGTTAGGATAATCATAATATTTTTGAGCAAATCTGGAGTAATAAAAGGGAGATTAAGAGGGATATTAAGGGATTTGAGAGGATTAGAAGTGATATTACGAAATTACAACGATTTACTGAAGATAAATACTACATATCAAGGAATTAAGAGAATTAATGTTAGATATTCATGGATTGGATAGATTAGATTTATCAGAGAACATGCTGGGATACATAGGATTTATAGGAATATCGTTCAAATTCATCAATAACCCTCAGAATCTCTTCCGATTCCAATATATTACGTCTAAATTCCAAGATCCCACAAAATTTTGGGAGCCAACTGTGCCGGAAATTTTGATTATATGGCACCGAAGTACATAAAAAGTTGCCTTTTTGCCTAGCAGGCAAAAGACATTTATGTTTATAGTGTTACGAAAAGAAAGATTCACTAACCAAAGTCGAAAATATAGAATTTTACAAGAAAAATAGATTAAATTTCGAAGTCGAAAAATATTCGATTGGACATTAGATTCATCCAATTTTTGATTTTTACCTATGAAAAATAGAATGGCCACCTCCATTAGAATGGCCCCTCCAATAGAATGGCCCCTTTTTGGGGGTATCGAAAAATAGAGTGGCGGCCATTCTATTAGAATAAATACGGTAATTTAAAAAATAAAAAAAAATTACAAAAATATTTTAAACTAAAAAAAGCCCATTTTTTCCTTTTTTTTCCAAGACAACACATTTCTTTTAAAATTTAAAAATACAAAATAACAAAAAAAAATATTTTTTTCTTTAAATTATACGTATATCTTTTCCTCCTCTGCCCTTTCCTTTAAAAATTGAAATTCATTCAAATGTAAAATTAACACCTACATAAGATGGCTTTTTCTCTTTTTTATTTTTTTGCCAGCTACATATATATTACAAAATTAAAATGTCTATTAAAAAAGTTTTATTTTGTTGGTGACGTAAAAATATGCGGATAAAACATGTGATGGAGGGTACTCGATGTTGCTTCGCCGCGAGCTTATAAAATTGCCAAAAATGGACCTAGAGACTTGAAATTTTGTAGAGACATAGTCAACAAGCTTATCTAACATGTCTAAAAATTTCAGAATTTTTGGTTTCGAAAATCAGAAGTTCTGGTTAAAAAATCAGAATTTTGGGCAATTTTCTTTCATTTTCCTCTATTTTTGGAATATTTTCTGCCGTAATCTCTGAAATATTTTACCAAAAATTCTGAAATTTTTAGATAAGCTAGAGAACCTTATTAAGGACATTTCTGCCAAATTTTATTACTATAGGTTCAAGTTTGGCAATTTTATGGACTCGCGCCGAAACGACATCAACGCCCAATACCCTTCGCGATTATTGCTCATTTAAATATTAAACTTGCATAAAATAATTTTCAAAAAATTTGTGTTCAAAAATTACCCAATTAATTAATTATTTTTCTTTTTTGTTTTAATTTTAAACAGGAAACGGAAATATTAATTAAATAATTAAAATTGTAAAGAGGCTAATAACCGTAAACAATTAATATGCCTTTTATAAGAGGCGAAAATGCAAAAATAAATTATATTTAATTATGTAAATTTATGTACATACATATAATGCTTATTCTTTTATTATTTACTATGAGGAACTCATAAATTATCATTTTTGTTCCTAAAATTTGGAAAAAAATTTTTTTTCATCATTTTTGCATAGAACCTATAAAATCGTAATTTACATTTTCCACCAGAATTTAAAAAATACTTAACCAAAAATCCTAAAATTTCGTAAACTGATAGATTATTGTATGTAATATATTTGTACAAATTTTTACTTTTTAAAGTTTACTTTGGGCAGTTTTATAAGGCTCCGCGCCGAAACATATGCCGCGCCGTAACGCCTCACATAAAAATCAGAATTTTTTAAAATCAGAATTTTTTTAAAAATCAGAATTATTTTATTTCAGAATTTTTTAAATCAGAATTTTTAAAATCAGAATTTTTTTTTTCAAAATCAGAATTTTTTGAAAATCAGAATTTTTCCAAATTTACAGAATTAAAAAAAAATCATTATTCAAAAATGTCACCATTATTTTCCTCAAAAAATAATTTTTCTTTATTCCAAACAACACTAATTTTATTATTATTAATTTCCCAAAGCCAATCCGTTTTCTACAGAAAAATTCCTTTTAGATACAAATCTGTAGTTGAAAAACCCTGGACGAATACAGAAGATGATAATATTGCTGCTGCTATTTTAACTAGTAGAGAGGATAAGGAGGAAGGGGAACAAAATATAGCACAATTGTTGGAACAGATTGAAAGTAAGATTGCTTGATTCTTACGTTATACTGTCACTTGGATATCCAAAAAATTCAAAAATTGTGTTATAAAATCACTCATAGGATTGTCTAACAGAATAGACCCTTATAAGTGACAGTAAGGGCTTCGAACGCCGAAACATCCACCGCGCCGGGACGTCTCTCAGATGTTATTGTAGGCTATAGTCGGAGTATGTTCTGGAATTTTGAGGCCGATTTATGGCATTTTAAGTTGCCAACATTTGACTATACAAGAAGCCAAAATGTGTATCATAAACTGACTTTGATCCATATCATACCAGAGGAATTCGAAGTTTCAGAACCCCTCTGATAATAATAAATAATAATACCTTTGTGACTAATTTGTAGAGGATTCTAGGTAATTGGGACCAGGGGTGGGCGCAAGAGACAATTTCGAAAAACGCAAAACGCAAGGCCAAAAATGATTTTTTGACCGCAAAGCAAGGCCAAAAATCAACGTAAAACGCAAAAAACGCAAGACGCAATGCGCTCACCCTGATTGGGACAATTCCTGTGTTAAAAACGGTTTCGTAAAAATTGAAACTTATGGCTATATAGAGAGAGTTTAGTAAAACTGATAAATGCCAGTTAAAAAAATATTTTTCTTTTAGAATCTTCACTCGACTCCCCCGATAACGACATAGAAGAAGACTACACCAATTTAAAAGAAGACATACTTCCATTAAACCAAAAATTACAAAAAATAAATAATAATTTAATTAAACAAAGGACTGATAAAAATGGGGATGAAGTTATAGCTCTTCCAAAAAATATTTTAATCGAAAAAGAAGATATTCTTCCAAAATATACACATTTGATGGCGTTTAGACCTGATTATACTATTAGGTAAGGGAGTGAAAAAATGAAAAATTAATTATATTTTCGTTTTTATTTAAAAAACGATTTTTAAAAAATAGAAAAAATTTTTTTGAGGGAGCAAAAAATTATTTTTTACCTTTAAAAAATATTTGGGCAATGAAAAAAATAAAATACAATCATAAGGTATCGAACCCTGACCCCTTCTAAGGGAAAATCAAGAACGATACCAATACACCACCGACAAGCTAAAAATAAAAAATTTAAGAGGCAAAAAAAAATAAAAATTTTTTTTTCACCTTTAGAAAATATAAGGGCAAAGAAAAAAAATAAAATACCATCAAAAGGTATCGAACCCTTACCCCTCTAGGAGGAAAATCAAGAACGATACCAATACACCAAAGACAAACTAAAAATAAAAAAAATTTTTGAGGAAACAAAAAATTTATTTTTCAAATAAAAAATGATTTATTGCCAAAGGGCATCAAACCCTGCAACCTCTAAGGAGAGGACCAAAGAGTATACCACTACACCACAGACAAAATTAAAATATTTCTTTTATTAACTAAATCCCCTCTAAAATAATTAGCATTTTTAAAATTTTTAGAAATTTTGCTAGCTTCCTACGGCGTTTTCTCGATTCAAGAATTATTGCTGCAACTGTGGATGATGAAACAAAATAAAATTTAAAAGAAAAAATTAAATTTTTTAACCTCAGAAGAAATTAAAAAACCAAAATTAACTTAAAATATTAAAGATTTCGAATTTACAGTATCTCTAGATTTGTTAAATGCTTACTGTAATCGTAAAAATAATAAAAACTATTTTATTTAATTTTTAAATATTTTTAGATAAAGTTAGAGTAATGGAAAAAAATTTTACCTTGCCCATATATAGGGGCAAGTCAAGAACGATACCAATACAACGGTTAAGGTCCAAGGTTAAGGTCACTTTTGTCCTTTGACAATTTCACCTTATTTTCTCGTGGTATATTCAATAAGACTTAATAACGTGAAGTTTAATTTTTTGTAATTGAGAAAGAAAGTCTGACTATTCTGAATAAAAAAAAGGAAAAAACTGTGAGAAGAGAAGGGGAACCTTAAACCCTGATTTACCAAATTTTACCCTCAAAGGTATCGAACCTTGCCCCTCTATGATAAAAATTATCGTATCTCTGCAGTTCTGTGTCGAACTTTGCTCTTTTAGGAAGCAAATCAAGAATGATACCACTACACCACAGAAAAGTTTCCCAATTTCTTCATTATTAGTACCTACACCCTCAAAATTCTCAATATTTTTTGTAATTTAAAAATATTTTTTAAAAATTTATTTTAAAACATTTCTAAACCTTTTCCTTAAAACTTTCTTCAACAAACAATAGAAAAATAAAAAGACACTAAAATTTATTTTTTTTTCCTAAACTTTTAATTGAAGCAATTAAAAAATAAATAAAAAATAGTAATCTCTCATCCTTTTTGAATAAAAAAAAATGTCAAAAAATAAAGTAAATAATATACGCAAAAAATACATTTTTTCACTAAATTGCGCAATATAGTGTACAAAAAATATATTATTTAACCCGAATTATTTAAAAATATTTAACAAGGTGAAGATAATTTTGCATGGGTTTCTATAGAGAGACCCTTCTATTAGGGAGAGGCTTTTATTGGAGAGACCCTTCTATCAGGGAGGGGCTTTTATTGGAGAGACCCTTATATTAGAGAGGGGCTTTTATTGGAGAGACTCTTTATTGGAGAGACACCTCTATTAGAGAAATAAAGTAAATAATATATATCTATTCGTAAATAATATATATCCCTTCTATTAGAGATGGGCATTTATTGGAATATTCAGAAATTTTAATATTCAAAATGCCAACTTTTCAAAACGTCGAATTTTTAAATTGTTAAATTTTTTAGATGTCTACCTTACAAATATTCTTTTTAATTTTACTCAATTTTTCGACAATTTTTATATTTAAAATTCCAACAGCTTCATCAACCTCTACACAAGATTTAGATATTAATTTGGAAAGGATTAAAAGAGAAATTAAAGAAAATACAAGCAAAAATACAACAAATAGTGAAGAGAAAGAAAATGGTAGAAAAAGAAAACTTTTTATAATATACCCTCTATTAGGGTTGGGGGCCCGGTCCGGTCTGAAAGATTGAGTCGGGCATCGAATTTCCGGCCCGAAAAAGACTCGGTCGGGCCAGCTTGATAAAAATGAATAGAACGTTGGTCTGACTCGGAAACCCCCAACCCTATCCTCTATATTAGATAATCTCTAAGTAAGATACTTCTCTCTCATATCCACTCATTTTCTTCTCCTTTCTCTCCCGCCTAAATGTTACAAAATTGGCAAGGCAATAATGCCATCATTTTACCAGCTATACCGATAAGTACCCAGCTCGATGTTTTAGAAACGGTACCGTTACAATGACATTGAAGATAGATGTGCCGGACGGGTACTCGTTCTAAAATGCCGAGATACTGTTGGAGACACCCCAATTTAAGTTACGCCTCGTTATAAAGGCACGATAATTTCACCACAATGGGGTATACTCAGGGCTCCGATCGACAAAATGCCACTCAAAAGTATCAAAATCTTGTAAAAAAAGTACATAGGGAGAAAATTTGCAAATAAAAAGTACACTCAAAATTAAATATTTATTCGTGATCAGATATTTTATATTTCTCTCCTAAATTAATCTTTTCTAATAATTTCTTGTTTCAACTGAGCATTTTGTGCATTTCATTGCATGACATGTCAAAATTTGCTGTCACATGAAGCAAAGCTCTGACAGTCTTAACCTCAAGCGAGTTTCTTTCTTTCGTCCATTGAATGTTTGCCATTGAGAAGCGCCGCAGGCGAAAATTTTTTGAAATTTGGAGCCTAAGAAGCCAGATTTCTTCTTTTTCAGCGCCGCAGGCGAAAATTTTAAGAATTTTGGAGGTCCTTAAGCCTCCAAAATTAAGATTTCTTCCATTTTTTGCGCCGCAGGCGAAAATTTTGAGAATTTTGGAGGTCCTTAAGCCAGATTTCTTCGTTTTTTCAAAAATGTTGATAAAAAAGTACATACTTTCAAAAAAGTACAAATTCAATTTCGGAAGTACGAAGGTCGATAAAAAAGTACAATACTTTTAAAAAAGTACGAATCGGAGCCCTGGGTATACTATGATAAGATCTGACTTTAATAAAATTTAAAAAGATAAACAAGTAAATGATCGTTATGGAAAATATTTGGCACAACGAAAACGTATACTTGAAAAGGATGATAAAGAAATGGAAAAGTTTGAATCTACAACTACAGCTAGTGTACAACATAAGGAAAAAGATGAAGAACAAGTTGTTGATGAAGGGTAAATTTTTAAAAATTTAAAAAATTTTTAGAATTGAACAAAATGATTAAAGTGACGAAATGATCACTTTATGACATCACTTTATGGCATTCGTTTCCCCAAAAATGCACGTTATTGGGGAAAAGGACGAAATAGAGGATTGACGAAATGGGGGAGTGACGAAAGGGGGAGTGACAAAATGGTAATTTTAAGGAGGTGACGAAATGTCTATTTTTTGGGGAGGGGAGGAAATGACCACTGGAAGGAAGGGGTAATTGTCCAATGTAGAGAGATAAAAACTAATTAGGCCTCTAATTAAAATAAAAAATAAATTAATTAGCCTCCAACCTTCAATCATTCGCCCACCTGCAGTTGAAAATGGATATGTAGAATCCCCAGTATATCAAAGACAACAACTTCAATATCCTTATTATTACCAAAATTACCAACCATATCAATACCCAAATTATGGATATTGTGGAAATAATCAACAATATTATTATCAAACTCCAAGTTATTATTACCCATATTATGGTAAGTGAGAAATAATGGAACACAAAAATACACGTAAAGAAAACATATAAAATACAATAGAGAAACACATAAAACGAAGACACAAAAATACACTAAAATACAAAAACACAAAAATAAAAAAAAATACACTAACAAAGGAGAATGCCTGGGGTGTCCGCAGGACTCCGGAATGAAGTTTGGTAGACAGGTAGATCAGACCCTACTTTAGTTGTGAAATTTGCACCATCTCCGCTAAATGGTACCGGGGACCGAGTTATAAGTCCCTAAAGTTTTAGGATCCCCCACAGTTTTTTTCCATATACGGCCCAATTTTTTATTTACAAGTGTTACAAGTCCACGTACCATTTAGCGGAAATGGTGCAAATTCCGCAACTAAAGTAGGGTATGATCTACCTGTCTACCAAATTTCATCCCGAAGTCCCGCGGAGATCCTAGGCACTCTCCTTTGTAAAATGCAAAAATTTAAAAACACGAAATTAGTAAAATACAAAAACTCGAAAACACATAAAATACAAAAAACACATAAAATACAAAAAGACAAAAACAAAAAAAATACTACAAATTCATTTACCATAGGTACCTCATACTATCAGCAACCCTCATGGAGAGGGGGCAATATGCCCGGCAACTTATTCAACCTTGGACTTGGTGGTGGCTTTAATATAGGCCCGCCTGGAGGGGGAATAGGTGTTGGGACTGGACTTGACGTTAATGTTGGATAAATTTAATTTCTTTTATTAAAAAATTTTTTTTAATTTTTAAAATTTTTTTTTATAAATTCCCCCTCTATTAAAATCGATTAAAAAATTTTAATGGACATTGACAATTAATTTTATTTAAATGTCTAGTAGTTTGTGATTGTAGTCTGTACATTGAAGCTATTGACATTTCAATTAATATTGTCTATTCTGCCCTTTAAAAAGGCAATCAATTAATTTTTTTTCTTTCTCTCTATTAAAATTTTTTATTAAAAAATTTTGTTTAATTTTTTTAATTTTAAAATTGTTGAAAGAGAAGTTTCTTTGAGAGACTCGGTCGTTAAGTTGAAGCTATAAACCGGAGGCAGATAAAATTAAATTAGCTAGAAATACCATAAATGATAAAATAATGTCCCTCTCTCAAATAATCACCCCCTCCCTTTTAATTACTCCCTTCAGAGAGAGGCTGAAAAAATAATTACCCCACTTAAAAATAGTTATAATTTGCCTTTTCAAAAAAGCTCAAATAATTGCCCCCTCTCTTTTAATTACCCCATCCAGCGGGATGTTGAAACAATAAGGGGACACGCCCAAAACAACGCGCGGCCATAACAACAACTTACTTCAAGATTTCTTAATCTTAACAAATTTAGTATTAAACGATTCCTCTCATCGAGCTAAAGAGTTTGGTACCAAAATTGATAAGGACCGGAAATTTTCCGGCTAGTTATGGCTTTGCGTTGTTATGGCCGCGCGTTGTTTTGGGTTAAAACAATAAGTACCCTGGGTAATTATTTTAGCAAATACGGTAGTTACTGTTTCTTCAAAAAATAACCCTCGTATGTTTTTCTATGTTCTCCAAAAATTTGAGAATTTTGGGTTAGAATTTTATAAATTATGGCGGAGTATGGCAAGTCAAGTTACAGCCGAACAAAGAAAAAATTCACGATTGCGTGCATTTATTCACATATAACTTTTTATAGGATGATCTGAGCAGATCAGTCTTGCTAGCTTAAATAATCCCCACATCCAGGGCTATCGATTGATACAAAAATTATTTAAATCGGTTAAGAAATAAAAAAGTTATGGCCCAAAATAGGGCCTCGATAATGCTGAAACATGGCTTTACTTAAAAATAAGCCTTTCCCTTCTCATTTCCTCACAACTTTTAGGTGCTTTATTCCAACTAAACTAACACAAAATTAAAAAAATGTTAACAAAATTTAGACCTAAATTGGTCTTTTTATTACTCACTTTGTCTTATTTATTGGCTAACAATATTTCATATAGTCAGCAATTTGATAATTCTGCTGAAAAAGAAACAATGAGTCTTTTACCGAAAGGAAGCAAGGAAATTGGAGAAATTAAGGAAGAGAAAAAGGATGAAGGCAAGACATGTTTTTTTGTATTTCATATAAGGGTTGTGCGTCATGTCGTTTGGTTTTGTGTTGGCGTTCATTTTGGCAGATTTTTGGCGTTTTGTGTTTGGCGTGATTTAAAAATTTGAAAAAATGGGGTTTGGCGCGCCTCGCAAAATTTGGCGCACAGCCCTGTTTTATACCCAAACATTTTTGTTTTGACAATTTTTTGTACAGACCGATGTTGGTCCTAATCATTTTTCTGACCATTTTCTGACCTGACCATTTTTTGTGTTGACCATTTTTAAATGTTCCATTTTTGTTCTGACCATTTTCTAATTCTGACCATTTTATGTTCAAACCTTTTTAAGGTCGGGGTAGTGCCTTCGGGGTTTTTGCCAAAAAATCGTCGGGGTATGGGGAGCTACCCTAGTCCAATGTTTAAAAAATATTAAATATAAATTCAGTTAAATTTCTGCTACCAGAGAATCCCGAGATTACAACTTTTGGAAATATGCGTGACAACATTTTAAAATTATTTGAGAAAAACAAAGAAATAAAATGTAAAAAAATGCTCATAAATTGTCTAAAAAACGAACTGAAAAAAATTAAATTTGGGCACATAAATGCACAAATATTTGCAGATTTTGAAGGATATTTAAGTAGACAAAAGGACGAAGAAAAGAATAAAAAATTAAAAACGGTCAAGAAATCGGTTGCAAATTTGGAAAAATTTGAATTTGTAACGTTTTTAAAAATTAGAGAAATGTGTGGGGATTTGAAGAATTATTTTAGGGAACACATTGAAATTGCTAAAGAAATTTGTTCTATAGAGAAGTTTACTGAGAAATTTGATAAAATGCTTAAATCTGCTAAGACCACATTTGTAAGCTTATAATTTATTTATTAGTCTGCTGCTAAAGGCGTGAGCGGCAAAACTTCGAATTATCAAAACTTCGTCTAGACAGAACTTCTTATGATCATAACTTCGTCCAATGAGAAAAATATGCATTTTCAATAGTTTGGGGTCTTTTAGCGAAGTTTTGGGCGGTCGAAGTTTTGTCCGACGAAGTCGTGTCCGTTCGAAAAACTGCCAGACACGTGTTAAAGGAACGCAGTAGACTGGAAGAGACAGAATAACAGTAGGAGACATTTGAAAGCTCCTTTCTCCTACTCCTCTTTCTTCAGCATCAGAGCTCTTTCTTCAGCACCTGTTCTGCATCCCCCACCCTCCCCCATCCACATTGGGCTCCAAATGAAAATGTTGATGAAAAAGGTGATCCAAGGGACATGTAGATGAACAAAAACAAAGACATTTATTTTATGTTCTGACCAGGGTTGCCGCGGGTACAAAAAATTTTCGGGTACGGGTTTCGGGTATCGGGTTGGAGCGTTTTCATTTCGGGTCACGGGTTTCGGGTTGGCAAAAATATCGGGTACGGGTTTCGGGTTTCGGGTCATAAAATTTTCATTTCGGGTATCGGGTTTCGGGTTGGCAAAAATTTCGGGTACGGGTTTCGGGTTTGGCGAAAAATTCAGGTTATTTTCGGGTGTCAGGTATTTGTGATCTAAATTGTAAGGCGACAAGCTATGTTGCATAATAGGATTTTGTGTGATATAGAGAGAGGCAAAGAGATTAAAGAGAGATTGGGATTTTGGGATTAAGAACGATATCTTGGTATTGACACTTGTTGGATAGGATTATGAAAGATTGTAAAGAAAGACCTCCAAGCCTTCTATATCACTTGATATATATTCAAATCCCTTCAATTGCAAGGCAATGATATCAGATGATTAAGGCAGATATAATGATTTAGATGATATCGGTGGATTAATCAACAGGTCCCTTGATAAAATCCCACTATATACTAATATCCCTCCGCTTTATTTCCATTAATACTCCAATTTTCTCCCGTTTTCAGCGCCGCAGGCGAAAATTTTGAAAATTTCGGAAGGCCTTAGGCAAAAAAATTCACTTTTTAGTGGCCAAAGGAAAATTTTTTAAGAATTTTAGAGGGTAAAAATATGTATAATAATTTTAAAAACAAAATTAAATCATAAAATAAAGTCATTTATGGAAAGAAAAATTCGAATATTCCTCGCCTTCTGACAAGGCATCGAACCCACATAACGACTGGGGTGAAGCCTAACACATTAACCATTAGATCACCGATTAATATAAAATAGATTGGAAAAAAATAAACATATTTCTTTCCATTTTTCTAAGTTTAAAAAATCGGGTAAGGCTAAGATTTCGGGTAGAAATTTCGGGTTTTAACCAATTTCGGGTCACGGGTTTCGGGTTGGAAAAAATATCGGGTACGGGTTTCGGGTTGGAAAATTTTCTTTTCGGGTATCGGGTTTCGGGTACAAAAAAAGGCCGGGTTTCGGGTTTCGGGTTTCGGGCGGCAACCCTGGTTCTGACCGTTTTGTAATAGGACCATTTTATGGTCTGACCCTTTTAATATTTCAAAATAATTTTTTAAATTTAAATAATTAACAGGAAAGAGAAAATACATTAATTGACGAAGATTCCGAATTCAACAAAATAATTTATTCAAAACCATCCGACAAAAAACACCAAACGCCTATTGAAAAACTTAGAAATTTAGTTAGACGTGTAACAACAGGATTAAGAAAAAAATGGCTTTATGGAAGCAAAGAAAAAAATTTAAAAATGAGTTCAAACGAGGAAGAGGAAATTTATTTGTTGGGTGGTGCTAACTAGTAGAGATGTCCAAGATGGTCTTGAGTCTTGGGGTCAAGTTTTGGTCTTGGGGTGTAGTCTTGGTCTGAGTCTTGAAAAATTTTTTGGCTTGGACATCTCTACTAACTATGTAGAAGGGTTGTCTTGAAGGGGGGGGGATGGGAGGGGTCAGAAAAATTTTTTCAGAAAATTCGTAAATTTTTTGAAAGAGTAATTCCCTTCCTCCCAAGTGAGACACGGATATTTGGAAATACAGAGAATTTCCGGACCCCAACTTTTCTGTTCGGACCCCACCCATTTCTTTTGACGCTGAGTCTTGTAAATACTTGTAAAAAATTCAAATTTCATCTCTAAAAAATTTCTTTGACGTTTTAAAGTTTAAAAAGGGTTGATAAAACAAGGGCGTTTCCTTTTAGTGTAGACTTTATCAATTAATTTTCTTTAGAGATGAATTTTTATTTTGCCAGAAATTCACCAGTTTTTCTCTATGAGAAATACATATTGTAAAGCATATAGCCATTTAATTCCTAAGGCTAAGCAAGAGGCGGTGTGCTGTAACGGATAACATTCAGTCCTGTAGATCAGAGGTGGGTCGGAATTCCGATTTCCGACGTTTTTCTCCTTCCCCCTTCCGATTTCCAAGTTCCGACTTTTGAGCCAGTTCCGATTTCCAACACCTCTGACTGTTCCGATCCACCTCTGCTGTTGATGCTGGTTCGCACCCAGCCGTCTTCTTCTAATGTCTCTCTAGCTGAAGGAGAAATGGCTATAGCACAATTCTTCCATCAAGAAGAGACAAGGAACCAAAGAAAAACGCCTTACTCCGTAAAGTTCGTTAAATCGAGATTCGATTGTATTTACTAGCAAAAAGTGGTGGCTTCTTTTAATGTTTATTGGAAATACATATTAAGGATTCCTTTGGAAGAAGCTACCATCTATGGCATACCGTGTATATATGTGTACATATCCTGATTGTCTTTTTGTATTTATTAAAAACTTTGTATAAAAATCCCTAACATTTTTTGCCTGTTTTTTAAATCTTGGCATGTAGCCAGGAGAGAGACCCGTCGATAAAGGCAAAAATCCATAATGCCACGTCCTTAAAATCACGCGCACGTCTAATAGTGAAGGGGGGATAAAACAATGGGAATATAGGGGAGAAAAATCAACGCAATTTTCTCTCCTCATTCAATGTTATTTTCTGTCGCAAGACGCAAATCGACTTTTCTGTTGCCACAACATAATAGAGAAGGGATAATAGTAGAGAAGAGAGGGGATGAAGAGAGAAGGGAGTGGGGGGGGGTATAAGGTGAAGGGAGGGAGATCTGCCATCTTCTTTAATTAATAGCAGGTGAAGAAAATAAAATTTTTTGTATAGAGAAGGGGAATTGAAAAATAGTGTGGTAAATGGAAGAGAGAGAGGTAGAGAGGAGGGAGTAGGTGAAGAGGGAAGGGCGTCTCCCATCTTTAATAGGCATTGACTACCTCCTTATTTAGACACCTCTCCGTTAAAAAATTTTCTTTCTCTTCATTTACTGCTTGCAAAATTTAATTTTTAAAACTGCCTTTAAATTTAATTTAAAAAATTTTTTCAAGAAAAATTAAAAAAAATTATTTTCAGCTTAGAATCCAAATAATTTCTCGATTTTTTATTTAAACAAAACCTTAAAATTTAATAGTCGGGCCTCACTTATTAATACACCCCATAAGAGAATTTTTTAAAATATTTTTATTAGCCTCTAGGGGGGGGGGGTTAGCTGCCTTCGGATACCTCCAATTTAAATACCTCTCGTTATAAGCGCCGATCTTTTCGACTCCAAGGGTGTGTATTATAGAGAGGTCTGACTTTACATTTTTTGCAGCTAAAATCTTCTTCGACAATCAAAAAATGTCACCAAAATTTCTCCCAAAATTGGTCACTTTATGCTTCTTTTTATTCATTCTGTTGGACAACATTGAAGGAGGAAAGGAAGAATATAATGGACTTTTAAACGGGACAAAGACACGTTCGAAAACAACATTTCGAGATGTAGTTAGAAAAGTAATGAATGTGAAAAGAGTAGTAACAAATTTGTTAAAGCCTAAAGGAGAAGCTAAAGGCTCTTATTTATCATTAGGAAAGACTTTGAATAAAAAGACGAGTCTTATGGATAGAGAATTTTATGTTGATAAAAGCATAGTAAAAACAGAACCAACAAAGGAAAAACATTGGATCACTACATACTCAAAAAAAGTTGGAAAATGAAGAAGAAAAAACTTATGATATTCTAAAAATTCTTTTATCGTGAAGGGGTTTTAAGGTTTTTCCATTGGCCAAAATACCCTCCGGATGAGTCAAAATACCTTCCAAAGTAACTTAGTGACATTTTGTCGTATATAAAAGGGTGACATTTTGTCGTTTATAACAATGTGTCATTTTTGTCGTTTATAACTATGTGACATTTTGTCGTATATTGCAATGTGACATTTTGTCGTATTTAAAATGTGACCTTTTGTCGTCCTTTACTCGTTGTGACATTTTGTCGTCAGGTATTTTGGTCCGTAGATGGAATGCCCTCCCGTTTCCATTGTAAGAAAAACAAAAAATTGAACATTTCTTTTATTTTTAAAGATTATTATTTTAAATTTATTTTTTTTATCGATAAAATTTTTCTTTTTTTTTATAAATTTTTTGTATTGGAGAAAAACAAAAGGGTTTCCCTAATAGACTCGGACTTCACTATAAGATATACCCAATGAAGTAGGTGAAACGTTTATTAAAATACGCAGTATCAAAGGGTATTTACCGTATTTCCTCTAACACATATAATGCTACTTTCCAGTTGAATGGCCCCCTCTAATAGAGTGGCCCCTTGGAGGATGATTGAAAAATAGAATGGCCGACCACTATATTAAAGGAAATCCGGTATACGCAGTATCTAAATAAAATTTGGAGGTTAGACAATTGGGGATATAAAATCAAAAAATAGCTGAAGCAAAGACAGTCAACCATTGAAAGAGCTTAATTAAAATGAGACTCTGTTTTGTAGTGCCGTCTGACGGTTTCTGAATGATTTCTGGATTGATGCGGGGCTGAAAACTTTAATAAACATTTTATTTTTAAAAGGAGTTACAAACAGCCGAGGGTTGGGGACGTTTTGGCGCCGTGCCGTTTTGGCGCGAGAATAAAAAAGTGGCACTTAGGCGTGACTTAATTTCATAAAAATTTTCTCAAATTTCTTTAACATCCTTGCCTACCTCCTCCAGAAATTTTAGAATTTTTCATCAAAAGTTTCTGAAGTTATAGTCGATAGACCTCGAAAAATTAGGCATTCTTCAAAAAATCAACATTTTTGCCCACAATTTTCGAAATTATTTATCAAAAATTTTGAAATTTTTGGAAAACATAGATAAAGGCACGAGAGTTATTATTGCATTATTGAAGTGAAAGCCTTTTCTGTAGTGCAGGCTGTCAGTTACCGACTCCAGACGGTTTCTAAATTATTTCTAGAAAAAATGAAAGGTCTAGACAATTAATTCAGAAAAGGGCATTCACGAGATTTTTAAAGAATCATAAAACAGGTTGGATATCTTGTGATTGTCTAAACATATTGCCCAAACTACAAATTAGGGGCAGACTACAATATTGAATTTTTTGGCATGTGTTTTAAGCAGAGGATTGAAGGAGAGAGGGAAGGACTTGAATTGAGGGAGGGAGGGAAGGGGGAATAAGAGGGAATAACATGGAGGGCCAGTTAGAGAAAAATAGAAAGAAAGAGCAGGAGATGAGAAGGAGGGATGAATCGTTTTAAGAGAGGGGATTGAAGGAGGGAGGGAAGGATTTGAATTGAGGGTGAAGGTGTGTTGTATTCGAGTGAATAAGAGTGAGGGTCTTCGAGTTAGAGAAAAAGAGAAAGAAAGAGTCAGTGAAGAGAAGGAGGGAGGGAGGAATCTTTTTAAGGCATGGGATTGAAGGAGAGAGGGAAGGATTTGAATGGGAAGGTGTGGGGTATTCAAGGGAATAACAGGGAGGGTCTTCGAGTTACAGAGAAAAAGATAAAGAAAGAGCAAGAGAAGAAAAGGAGGGAAGAATCTTTTTATCGATTGATGGAGGAGGGAGAGGAGGAGGGAGAGGGATTGTCTAGGGGTACCTCCTTTTTAACGCCCTCTTCTCTTCTCCCTCCCTCCACAAAATAGCTTTCCCTTCATTCATTTTTCCTTCAATTAAAGTTATAAAAAATTTTTTGCCGTTATTAATTTAAAGGATTGAACGAATCCTTTAAAAAAATCCGCGAGAAGAAAAAGAAAGCCGCGATGTCGACAACTAAATTTAAAGAAAAAATGGTTGCCATTTTATTTTTTCTGTTAATTTTACTTGTTAAAAGTAAAGCGTTAGAAGGAGAAGGCGAAAGTCTTTTACAATCATTCAGAAATGAAAATGGACAGAATGGTAGGCAAAATTTCCAAGTTTTTTATAGACTTTAGGAATTGGAGATCGGACCGAGACGAGATCTTGAAGAAAATCTAGGTCGTTGGGAATCGTTGTAGGGTTTTCTGACACTCCCTGTTCAGTCTCTCCAATAGTATAAACTAACGTATTTATTCTAATTAAATGGCCTCTCCACCCTCTCCTCTCCAATGGCCTCCTCTTCATCTCATCTCCTCTCCATGGCCTCTCCTCTCCATCTGAATGGCCCTTTTTGGGGGTATTGAAAAATAGATGACGGCTATTCACTTGGAATAAACACGGTAGTTATTTTTCTAATTTATTTCTAATCCAAAAACAGAAAGGCGGATATTCCAAATTCCGTTCGGATAAGGATCCATATATCAGAAGATCCGAATATCCTAAGATTCCCAGGAAACGCTAATCCTACTCCAAGTACCTTAATCTTACTCGAATTTTTAATATTGCACCCCTCTAAAATTTAAAAATTGAAGAAGAACATAAGGAAGAACCAACAAAAGAACCCACAGAAGATCAAAAACAAATTGTTGTCTACAACCCTTTAAAATTAAAACCAAACAATCCAGAGCTAAAATTGTTCGAATTTATTGAGGCAAAAATAAATTTTTTCTTTGAAAACAAAAATAAAATAGTAAAAACGTTGAAAAAAATAAACTGGTTCAAAACCGAGTTGAATGCCGAAGAATTTGAAAGCATAAACAAATTGGGGGATGAAAATTATGAAATGTTGGATAAACTGAATTTTGGCGTTTTGTTGAAAATAAGAGGAATTTGTAGTAATTTAAGCCATTATTTTATACGTCTAAATGGAAATATGCTAGGGTTGTGTTTGGATAAGGAATTTAAGAAGCCATTTGATAAAATGTTACTGGACCATAATTTAAATTTCGTAAGTTTTTATTGTTATACAGGTGGTCGTTTTTCCGAATGGTGTTTTTCCAAAGGGATGCTTTCAAGTGGGGCTTTTCCATAGGTAGTTTGTTCATATAGCCTTTTTACAAAATGATCATTTCTAAAAATGGTCAATTTTAAATATGGCCATTTTCCAATTGGTCGCTTTTCCAATTAGTCGTTTTTACAAATGGTCGTTTTCCAATTGGTCGTTTTTGAAAATGATCGATTTTCCAAATGGTCGTTTTACAAAATGGTCATTTTGTCTATCATACCATCCGAGACCTAAAAATTGAACTGGAAATAACCTAGATGTTTTCCGGCAAACGAGTTTATAGCCGACATCCCCAAAGAAAAACGGGGAAAAATGAGGGAATAGAACCTAGTTTCTTTCCATTTTTTCTTTACCGCAGAGATTTAAAACCTTATTTATAAGTTAATTTTAAAATCCCCATTTAAAACTAGAAAGTGGAAGATAAAGAAGGGTTTGAACCAAATGCTGCTGAAAAAACCCTTAAATATTTAAAGAAAATAGAGGAAAAGGTTAAAGGAGAGGTTAAGGAAGATGTTAAAGAGAACAAAGAGACAAAAGTCAAAGAAAATAAATTAAACAAAGACTTGAAGAGATCAAAAAGTGAACTTTTATCGTTAACTAAATTAACGAATAACAAAACGAGAACTTTAACCGAACCGTTTAAAAACGTCTTAAAAATTGTGAGAGTTTTAAAAACCTTAAATTCAAATAGAGGAACGAACTATAAAAAAGATAGAAGCGAATTTAAAAAACTTCCTTCGAACAAAGATGAAAGAAATACTGATATGTTTACTGACATTTAACTGACATTTAAAAAGAAGTGTTTAAACTAGAGATCGGGACTTTGTAAAGTACAGTATTCCGGATTATTATCCAGATTGTACATGGCTCCCATACAAAATACCGAATTCTTAAAATATGGAATCTCAAAATCGCGAATCGGCTAAAAAAGCTCAAAATATGGAATCTCAAAATATCGAATCTCAAAATATGGAATAGGCAAAAAAAGCTCAAAATATCGAAAAATATCGACAATGCGGCAAAGGCCAGTTGAGTCTGAACAAAGTTGTGACCAACTTCTTCGTAAAAAAATTTTAAAAATAAGAGAAAGTATTTTTCTAAGGTAAAAAAATGTGCTGATTACGAATCTCAGCTCGGATTTTGAAAAAGTCGAATCCCGGACCCGAACCGAATTTCGAATCCCGAACCGAATTTCGAGTTTCCGAATGATAGCTCATCTGAAAGAGCACGTCGAGCTGCATCGAATGATACCAAAATCAATGAAATCCGACCTGATTGGACTGAGTTACAGATCCCTGAATAATCAGAAAAAGACCTGCAGCGGCACTCAAACGGCCCTTTTCGTTTTTAAAAAATTCGACATTTTTAACTACTTTTTAGCCGATTCGGTATTTTGAGCTTTTTTGGCCGATTCGCGATTTTGAGATTCGATATTTTAAGATTCCATATTTTGAGCTTTTTTGGCCGATTCCATATTTTGAGATATTTTTACCGATTCGCGATTTTGAGCTTTTTTAGCCTATTCGCGATTTTGAGAATTCGGTATTTTGTGCGGGCACGTTGTACATACATCTAATCGCACCTTTATGCGTCCAATCACATTTTATTTGAGGTTTTGACTGTCTACTCACGACTAAGGATGATGATTCCTGGGAAATCTCCGGATATTCGGAACCGGTATCCGAACCGAAAATTTCCGGATACCCGAGGTTTTTAGGTTCCGGATACCCGTAACAGCCAACCTTACTCACGACCAGGGGTGGGCGCATTGCGTTTTGCGTTATTTGCGTTAAATTTTGGCCTTTTTTTGCGTTTTGCGTTTTGCGTTATTTTCGATGAAATTAACGCAAAAAATATAACCAATCTGAGGACAAAATTGGAGAAATTTGGCTTCTTGACCTTCCAAAATTCTGAAAAATTTCGCCTGCGGCGCTAAAAAAGGAAGAAAGCTGGCTTTCTGGCCTTCCAAAATTCACAAAATTTTCGCCTGCGGCGCTGAAAATGAAGAAGGATCAGGAGTGGTTAAGTCGGGGATTTCTAGGGATATCTGGGAATCTATCAATTTCGAGAAGATATTAATGGATTGTCAGAATTAAACAGGTCTTCGAGTGATTAAGAGGATATGATGAATATATCTAGAGATTAATAAATTAATTCTTCCCGTTAATCTTCTAATCTGGGGGCAAAATTGGAAAAAATCTGTTTTCTGGCTTTCCAAAATTCCGAAAATTTTCGCATGCGGCGCTAAAAAAGGAAGAAATCTGGCTTTATGGCCTTCCAAAATTCCTAAAATTTTTGCCTGCGGCGCTAAAAGTAGAGTATTTAAATATCAATTTTCCATCATGGAACGGCTCTGAAGAATAACGGTGCATTATCTGGAGATCAGGTCTCCCGTTATCCCCATATCAATCCATAACTACTTATAGCCTTCATCCTTTGCTATCTTCCCAACTCACCCGACATCCGTCGATAATCCCATGATTTCCTTGATCCCTCCAAATTATCCCTTTAAATCCTCTGATATCGTTCATAATCCCTTGTATCCAGGATAACTCAAATCATTACCCATCCAACTTACATGTATCACAAAGTCGAGTAGGAAACGCTGACTTATAGTAATACTTTATTTTAACTGAAAAATAACTAATACTTGATTTAAAAAATTTTTTTCCCTATTTTTGCGCTCTTGCGTTTTGCGTCTTGCGTTATTTGCGTTAAATTTTGGCCTTGCGTTGCGTTTTGCGTCTTGCGTTTTTTGAGATTGTCTCTTGCGCCCACCCCTGCTCACGACCCTTCCAGTCCGTTCTCTCGTTTAAACCTTTTATGTAAACCCTTTTGAGGAAAAAGCGAATTTTAACGTCATTTTTTGTTGAGAGAAAAATATGTACATAGAGATAGACCTCGATTTTATGAATACCCTTGGAAGTGTAAAAATCTCTTATACTAAGAAATTTTTGAGGGAGTATTGCTTAGAAAAGATTTTATCTTAAATTGAGGGTATGTATTTTTGGAGGTAAAATCGAGGTCTGAATGTATAGTAGAGACCGGAAATTTTGAAAAGCCTGGACCTGTTCCTGGACTCTGGGGTTTGATTTCTTGACCTAAACTGGATCCTGGGCCTGTAGTCCAGGAAAAACTCAGGCCCAGGAAAAACCGCGGCATTATTTGTTAGTCCAGACCCAGGCCGGGCTCTACTGTATATAGTCTAAAGTTGAACCCCTATCCATTCAATTTGTTTGACTCCGAACCCGCAAATTTTATATACACCCTTGAGACTCCAAAAATTTGTATTTTAAACTGGAGAAATTTTTTATAGTATAACAGGGATGTCTCGAGAAAACGGATTGAAAAATGTCCGGGTTTCGAGTAACCCGAGACATCTCCCGATAAGAGCTACACGGAAATTTTAAATTCTTCCTAGCTTGAGGAAAATAGGAGAACTCTCCGTTTCATTTCCTTGAGAAGAATAACCCTTAAAGAATACTCTTGGTCACTCCTTTCCGCAACCATGAAACGAAATTTTCGCGCAGCTCTGATCCCTCTTATGTACAGAATTTTTTTAAATTGTCGAACTTTTTAAGCATTTTCTTTGTAAAATTTTATCTTTAAAATTGTATAAAACATAAAATTGTTTATTATATAAAAGTATAAAAGTTAAAGGAGGCGAGCGATCCCTTCTCTAAAACTATCTTACCTATGAAAGTGTAGGGTGAAGAGAAACGGGAGTTGGTAGGAGGACTAGGAGGCTGGACAAATTGCGTTTTTCACTTGCGGATTTTTTAAAATAAGCTGCGGATTACCTATTGATTGCATGACTTTGACAGAAATGGGAGAAGGGGGGATGGGTGGGAGAATAGTTAAAGCTCCACAAGATTAAGGATAGGGGCATTTTACTATCGTCAACAACCTCCCCTCGATAGCAAGACTGGCATGAAGGGGAAGAGGAGGAGAGGAAGGGGGAGAGGAGAGGAGAGGGGAAGGTTATCGGTGACATGAAGAGGAGGGAATCGTTGACAGCTCTTATAAGCATTACCTACGCTCGACAATAGCTCTCCCTCGATTGCGTGACTTAGCATTAGAGAGAGAGGAGGGGATTTTTGACAGTAAATGTATATTTTACTTACTCATGTCAACGTCCTTTTATTTCTCTCCTTTAAAATAAATTAAAATAAAACGAAATTAATTTTTTCACCTATTTTTGAATTTTTTTTTTAATTTTTTGGTATTTTTCAACGGTTAGTTGCATCCAACTTTGAATTTTAAGGTTCCAACCTCTCTTAAAATGTTTAGCTCTTGGAACCTTGCTTATAGGCACTCTGATCCATCCCACTGGACAAAAAGCGCGTATTTGTCCTCATCGGACTCGTCCCCACACGGATTCGTTCGATCTCAAAAAATCCGAGTAAACATACTCACTTTGTCGAACTATAAATTAAAAAGGGGTATTCTTATCTTAAAACCGATTTAAAAAGATCTAACCATCTAAGAAAATCTAAGCAAGACATTTCCTATAAATTTAGAAAAAATATTAAAACCCAGAAATTTTTTTATCAAACAAGTTAAAAATGGTCATTTTTTACTTTCACTTATAAAATCTATGGCTCTTAAGAGGACTGCTTGGGTTTGAATTTTTGCAGTCTGCAAGGAACGTTTAGACATTGAAAGCATGTTTCCTCTTAGTTCTTAACAACTCTTCAAGTTAGCTTTGAATCCTTTAATCCCTAAAAACAAAGAAAAGAAAGGTAATAGCCAGCAAAAACGCTAATAAAACATCTAAATCTATCGAAATTTTGAATTCCGATTCTTTATAAATCGAAATTTCGATACAGCCCTGACATCGCATTCAAAAGAAAAAGGGAATTTTAAACACGTAAATTTTTATTGAATGCTTGGCCTTGACAGGGAAAAGAGGGAATCGTCAACAGCCCTTACATGCCTAATTATATTTACTATCAACTCTTCCCCTTCATTTCTTTACATAATTAAATTAATTTAAAATTTAGAATTAAACAAGTCTAATTAAAAGA